AAAACTCCGTTTTGAACGGCACGCCCTTTTCCTCCTAAAAATAGCGCGCTCTTTGAATCGGAGTTCTTTTCACATGGAGAGGGAGGTATTTTGCTACATTTTTTGATACTTCCCTGATGCAAACTGTTATGTCTCTTGCTACTGGATCAGGCCGCTCTATGCTTAACGCCGAGAGCGTCTAAAAAAAACATTTTTTTGGCCATAACTTTTCTAGTGTGGTGAAAAATGATTTTTTTGTATTTAGTAACATTAACCTAGAAATAGGCATGAAAATTTTCGTGACAAAATTCGACAAAAAGTCTCAAACTTTCGCCGACTTTCGATCTAGAAATCTCGGTTGTTCTGCAAAGGATGAGCTAGGATTCTCACATACATTTTTAAAAAATTTCTAAATTTGCGCCAAATTTCATCGAAATCTGGACGTTGCATTTGGGGTACTCCTCTGTAAATTTTATATTTCTTGAATTTTCCATCTTTTTTTAAACGAGCCCTCTTTTTTAAGGCTAACTTTGAAGCAGTCTGCTAACGACCTCCGCCGAGTCTTTCCAAACGATCAAAACTGGCGGATAGCAAGGACATTGCACGTCAAAACAATTCTTTCAGAAAATTGAAAAAACAAGGAATCTCGGATCATTGATTTTTTGCGAGGTGCCACAGAATTATCGAGCTTGAAAAATTATTTTCCTCTTCGAAAAACATTTTTCTCGAAATTCCCTGGGAAAGGTTTCTTTTGTGACTCAATAATTCAGCGACATTTCGTCAAAAAATCAATGATGCCTGTTTATGCAAGGCCCAAAATCCGAAGATAACTCGCAATTAGACAGAGCTTGGTTCCGAATTTTACGTTTTTCCCTCCTGAACTAGACCTGTAAAACTTAAAAAATTGAAATCCCTAAATGCCAGTAACCAAAGTTACTATCTTGCCATAAAAACATAACTTTTATCACATAAGATTTTTGTGAAAAGCTACCTGACAACCAACTCTACAAGACTCTAAAATAACTACAAAAAAATCAGGAATGATTGACACTTTCATCATTCGAAATGCACTTATTTCGTCCACTATGACATCAAAATTGTGACATGGAAAACTGTCGAAATGTGGCAGAAACCTGAGAAGCTACGGTAACGAAAATATAGGTTTACTTTTTGCGTTCCAAAGTCTTCAGAACTCAACAAAAAACTGTTCAAAAACTCCGTTCTTCCTCCGTTTTCGAACAAAAAACAAAATAATTCTTCGTATTTCAAGAGGCGAAAAAAACATGGAACAAAGCAAAGCAGAGTAATTCTCCCGCTCTTCTCTCTTTTTGATTATTTTATTTCCTGAGGGTCAGAAGGAAATTCCGTCCCACTCGAGAAATGTGGACACAACTTTTTTTGGGTGCGCTCGTTCCATCTTATTTATTGTCCTCTTGGGGTCGGAGAGTAAGCGGAAAAACTGGAATCCAAAGCAAAAAACAGAAAAAAGTAAAGAAAAAAATGAGAAATGGGTTGGAAAAGTTGGCCAGATGAGTTGCGCTGAGCAATGGGCATCTTGCGCAGAAGATGATTTGTGGAGAATTAGGCGGTCGTGTCAATGATGACTTGCAGATGCGATGTGTAGAAAAAATCTTTAAGGAGCAAAGCTCGCATCACCGTTAAATTTTATTTTCATGACATTCCAAGACCACCTATATCTTATTGAATACCTTTTTTTGATGCATTGCGGGCTGAGTGCTGAAGTTCAACAACTTTTCAAGGGAAGGTCCGCCAGGACTAGACTTGGCTGCCGGGCTGGGCCGGCCCGGGCCGGGCCGGGCCAAAGCAAAATTGAAACGGGCCGGGCCGGGCCGACCTGTTCCGGCCCGCGGGCCGGGCCGCAACTTTCGGCCCGGGCCGGCCCGGCAAAATTAAAATTCTGAATTTCAAAGCGAAAAGTTGGGTTGCCAATAAAATTAAAAGCAAAGCCAAGAATGGGGTCTATATTTTTCATACAGTAAGCATAATTTTATAAAAATAAAGCACGGAAGTACTCAAAAATGGCTACTAATAAGAAGTTTTACTAGTAAAATCTATTAAGTACTAATGGATATTAGTGTTTGTAGTAATTTTTTGAACAAAAACTCAAAATAAACGTAACCGACATCCTTAAAAACACAATTAAAAGAAGTCGTGTGAAGCAACGCTATCATCTTGAAGTTGAAAACCTTGTTAAACGTGGTTCCGCCTTTGCTGAATCTGTAAAATTGATCTTGGGGAAATTTTTAACAGTCTGAAAAAGGATCTCGGGAATTTTTTGATTAATTTTAAAAAGGCAATGCGTTGGTAAGTAATTTTTTGCTTTAAAAATGTACTGTTAGTTGTTATAGTAAAGAAAAATATGTCATATCTAATAGCGAATTAAGGTTTGTTATTTCTTCTCAATTTTCGGGCCGGCCCGGGCCGGCCCGGGCCGGGCCGCGGGCTGGGCCGGGCCGGGCCGAAGAAAAATTGAAACGGGCCGGGCCGGGCCGACCTCTTCCGGCCCGCGGGCCGGGCCGCGATTTTCGGCCCGGGCCGGCCCGAGAGCCAAGTCTAGCCAGGACAGAGAAGTCCCGAATAACGGTTTTTGTCAATTCTTTTATCATTTTGACGCAGCGGAGTTCTCAGCGGACGCTTTAAAGTTAGTCCAAAATGGAACTGCTTGAAAAAAGTTGGATGGTTCAGAAAATAAAAAATTTACAGTGTAGTACCCCAAGTACGAAGCTCAAGTTTTGATTAAACTTACAGGGGAAGTACTCCAAGTGCGACGCTCAGATTTTCTTAAAATTTTGCACACACTTGGACTAAATATCAATTCCTGAAAGTTTTAGCTCGCGCTTTGCCGGCGCCGCCGAGATCGAACGATTTTTGCCGCCGAGAGAGCACGCTAAACGTGGAGAGCGGTCAGAGAGAAAACACCTTTTTGGCCATAACTTAGGCAGTTTCGAGCGGAAAAAATTGATTTTTTGTAGAAACATTATCCTTTACGGTTGAAATAGGCATGAAACTTTTCGAGCCGAAATTCGGCAAAAAGTCCTAAATTTTGGCCGACTTTTGATCTAAAAATCTCGGTTTTTTCTGCAAAGCGCGAGCTAGAATTCTCGCATATATCTTAGAAAAAATTATTCTAAATTTGTGCCAAGTTTCCTCAAAATCTGAGCGTCGCACTTGGAGTACTTCCCCTGTTTGCAACAAATTTATAAATTTTTTTTTCTAAAATATATATGAGGATCCTAGCGCCACACTGGGCTCATAATTTTCCCGACAGCCTGGTAGTGAATTTTTTCTCAGGGCATCTTACACTGACCGTTGTAACATCGGTGACCGCCATGGTCGCCATGTTTTTCATTCACTAAAATATCACCTTGAAAGCGGCATTTATTTATTTTTTATGATTTATCTACCTGGATGACACAGAAGAATCCGAAGAATCCTTTAAAACTTCCTTGAATTTTACAATTTCGGGAACATAAACGGCATTGACCGGGATTCCCGTCGTTCCCTTCAAAGATTCCACCGTTACGACCAGCTGACCACCTTCCATAATTCGACGTTCGATTCAGGTCAACTATTGTAAATCCCCACCACAGACGAAGATTCTCCCAACGTTCTCTTATTTATTTACTTTCATCAAGCTCACTCAATACTTGCGCAGTTGAACGCGCCGGACGGCAAGTTTAACGATGATGTTTTAACACCCAGGGTTTAGGATTGTGCCGTCGGATGGCGTTCGAATTCAGTCTCATGACGCCGAGAGTTCCCTTGAAATCAATGGGTTTTATCAGGATAAAAGGCTTCGGTGGCTTTTGGAGATTCATTCGGGCGTCATGGAACAAGGAACGGCTCTGGAAGAGGCGGAAATTAGGTCATCGGTCTGAGTCATCGAAGATGACAGTGTAAAATTTATTGTGTTGCTGTTGTGGTAGTTTTTGGAGTACTATGACGGGCACTGTAGGATTTTTAAGGGGAAATATTCAAAGTATGAGCATGGATTTTAAAAACTTGATTGTGAAATTTTCTTTGTCTGGCAGACTCTCTTAATCCTACATGCTTTCTCGTAAAGTAAAATACAGAATATTTCCATCAAGTTTGTAAAGAAGAAACTGAACTTTTCCGTATTTGTAAACCTTTTTGATAATGTCAGCGGAAACCTCATCCCATTTTTCTACCAAAAAATCATCATTTTTTCTGGTCATTATTTGCCCATTTTTCCCAATTTTCAATTTCATAAACTATCGAAATGAACTTATATACGAACAAATTTTCATTGCCCTATAAACTCCCTATAAATCTTCCTCAACGTTCCCCAACAACAGTTTGATTTTTGAAGCTCCATTTTATGTCTCAAAACCCAACTGACCCATCGAAAGCAGAAGGTGATATTTTTCCCACGACGTCACAAGTACAGAGCCGAGCCGATGACGTCGCTTTCGGTCGCATTCGGTTTGGCGACGTTTCTGTTTACCAAAGAGTGCCGGCAATCTGTTTTTTGGAGGTCACAACACCCACAAGTCTAATTTCGCCGGCTCGTAGTTTCATTTTCCGCGTTTTCCGCATTGTAACCATTAATGGGTTGTGAAAACAGCGGGTTAATTGAAGAAGCACTTGATGTTATGTGTTCGATAAAGTGGACATAAATTGGGGGTTCTGGGTTGCGGTAGGGTGGGTGCTTATGCTTGATGTAATGGTTGTTTTCGGCAGTTTTAAAATTTTTCTTACGTAAGCGTAAGAAAAATTTACTTAATTTTTCTTCATGGGGATGTCGTATATGTATTTTTTCAGCTTGTTTGGCTTTAATCTTCTAGAAAAAACAACCTTTCTGCTGGAAGTGCTAAAAAACTTATTGTAATGTTTGAAATTCAAGGTTATTTAGTAATTAAATCACCATTCCCGGAGCAAAATTCTCAGAATTCAACTTTGTATTTGCAACCGTTCGCATACGTATACGCGTTATTGCCAGCCTTGTAAAAATCTAAAACCATACCCATTTGATTTCAGCCATGCTTCACTATCTACTAATATCGCTTCTTCTCCTATCAACGGTGACCTCTCAACGTTACGGCTACTACAGCAACTATGGCCCCCAGCGCTACAGTGGAAATTATGTCCAGCCAACTTACGCCCAGCCTCAGACCAATGTCGCTTCTCAATACCGCTCCTACTATCAACCAACCAGCTACTACAACTACCAGCAACCAAGCAGTAGTCAGTATTCAGGCTATGGGCAGCAAAATTACAACTATTACAATCAAAACAATGGTTATAACAGCAATTCCAACTATCAGTATCCCAGCTACAACTATGGCAGTAGCTATGGCAGCGGAAGCACCGGGTACAACCCTTATTACGTCTCACCGAACAACCAGTACGAGAACAGTATCAACTTTTGGAGGACAAGTCAAATTGCTCCGATATACCCTAAAAGTGGGATTAATATGGGAGGCATTTGGCTGTTGTGTTCGGGATGCACAAGAGGATAGAGCGCGTGTACAAAGAATTGTTGCTTTATTGTTATTTTCTGTAACGAGTATAACTTATTGCAAAATTAATAATAAAATTGATTACTATGTATAATAAATGATATATTATTAAAGATTGGCCTCATATTTACATATATATGTATACATATTTTTGGGCATTGTGCTCTCAATAGCGTGGTTAATGATCTTTCTGATTTTTGTAGCTTCATGGTGTTTTTTGTGGCTTTTTTGCCAAAGAAGACATTTTTTGTGACTCTATTCTTTATTCTCTATAAATTGATAGTTATTATTTTTTGTACAATGCCAAACTTCTGTATTATAGCCGCTGATTTGAGCCCGTCCTCTCGAACGATCCGTTAAGATAAGCTCTTCCATTGCCGTTCACAACAGCTTCTTTCATTTCCAACTCTTCGTTATTACAAAGAACTTTGCGGCTTCGTTGTTTTATCGGTGCAAGGTCGTAACCGGCGACAAACTTCCACTAAAAAAAGTGTAATATATACGCTAATCATTAAGCGACAGGGCAAATAAAACGCCATTAAAGAGGCTATTGCAGGTAAAATAAGCCTCAAAATGGCTTACATCCTTTTAAACTTACAACAAGAATGACAATCACCATTCCAACGGTGAGGCCGGTCAGCACATCAGACCAGTGATGTTTGTGGTCAAAGATTCTGGTCAGCCCAACGTAGATAGCTCCGCAGAAGGCGAGGGATTGAATCACTGGGATCAAGGTGTTCAACCAGCACTCTCCAGCGGCTCTGGATTGAAGGTAAACCTAAATAATGACAATTATGTATTCAACCCGAAGGGAATGCCGATTTCAAGGGGCTTCTTTAGTGAACGAAAAAGATGAGAGCCACGGCGCTCGCCAATGTTACAGCGGCGGGTGTAAGGTGCTCTTGTACACAAGACCCTTTAAGTTTGCCGGAAAAATTATGAAGGAAATGTAGCGGCGCCGATCGCGTTGCAGAAATCAAAAGAAAGCTTTCGCCGCAACATAATTTATTTTCTCGGCGGTGATACAGTTTTCGATGCAATAGAATGCTCATTATTTTCCCGACAGACTGATGGACTCTCTTCTTGGAGAGATGTTCGAAAGTACAGCTCTTGCTGATCCTTTCTATGCGATTTTACTTCGGCCAATGTTCGTAGCCGGAGTAAAGTATGCTCATTATTTTCCCGATAGACCAATTCTCAGTTCAGAAAGTAGACTTTGACTTTGGATTTTGCGATGTGCAATAAAAGGTGGAATTTTAGACAGCCCTCTCAACCTATTGCACGGGGAAAAAAGCAAGAATTTTCACACTGAAAATTGAAGTTTCTTCCTCACTGTATAGTTCACGATTTTAGCCCGGCCACTTTCCAAAAAACTATATAGCTGGCACACTTACCACGATAAACATTCCCATGCTCATGGACATTGAAGAATGGCCGCTGAAGAATGATAAGCGCGCGTCTTTCATTTGCCAATCAGACCTCTTCGCGGTGCATTCGTAATCCGTAAGATACTCATGAGTGGTGCAGTTGTGCCTCCAGTCAATTGTGGGTTGACACACGTCCAAGAAGTTGGGACGCAATCGCCCCACAGCGTTCTTTGTAACCGCCGTTAGAAAGGAGCATATGACCAGAATTAGAAGGGAATAGCCTGGAAGAAACCAGGTAAGATATGTATGTAAAGGTAAACCGAAAAACTTTATGAATACTAACCGTAAAACTTGAGCACTCTAGACAGTAATCTAACCGGCTTCGATCTTCCACATTCAACCTTGGACAAGTATTCATTTTCAAAACGATAGAGCCTGAATGACTCTGTGACTATGATGACAATGAGCTGTGGAACGAAAGCAATCAGCAATAGGGCGACAAGGTTCACCGTCTCCGGCTTCATTGGATACATGATTGTTTCGTCATCGCAGAAGAATCCCCGTCGATACACTCCCATCCATTCGAAAAGGCCATTCGTTAGAAGTACTGGAATAAGAATAAGAATGTGAAAAAGTATAAAATACGAAGAAGGTGGCATCCATTTTTGCCTTATCTGCAAAAGATACAATGGATATGCGTTAACCCTAAAAGTTTTTGTTCGCGCTAGTAGGACCCGGACCAGCACCATGATCAACAATCACAAGTTCAAACACATTTGGAGCCCTTCAACACCTTTGGAGCCAGCGGAACTTCAAGAACAACCCGCACGGATACCCGCAAATGATCTCACCACGGAAACATTTATTGGCATTCTGCAGCAACTACGATAGGATCCACGAAGACGGGGGAATTCAGAAATTGGATAAGGGATAGATGGAAATATAGGACAGGAATTGGTCAGAGGTTGGAGACGGCCAGAAGGAGGACAGAAGAAGGACGCGCGAGGGCGTGAACCCGAGTAGTATCAGTTGATACAGTTGGTCTTGGGTTTTTATTGTTGACTTGTTTACTCTTGTTTTGGTATTTTCCCCAGTTGTATCGTTTGGCTTGGATAAACTTATCACTCGTACGTGTTTGGCGAGTCGTTTCTAGGAGATCTCCGGATCCCTTATCCCCACGAACTACCACTAAATAGTTCTAATTGGCGACCACAGGCACTCCACGATCTTCGGCGACGTTGGACGCGATCTTTCTGGTGGATTTGAGGTGATTTTTTCCCTATTTCTTTCTTGAATTTTAGGTACGAACTTCTCTTGACAGTTCTAAAAAATCTCTGAACTTCTATTGACAGTTCAAATTGATTTGCGAGCTTCTATTGATAGCTTGTAGGAACTCCGAACTTCTATTGATCGTTTCGGATTTCCTCTGAGAAACTCTATTTGATCGTTTCGAATCTCCTCTGAGAACCTCTATTGAAGAGTTCCAGCGACCATCGGCTGGCCTCTAACTTGGAAAGTGTCCGATCGTCCATTTGAAGCGCTATCGTGCTTTTTTTTTTGAGAATTTATCGAATCCTCGAAACTGGTGTTGAATTCCTTACTCATCTGAAGGATCTCCACGTCAAAAAGAATATTTATCACATATTCTAGCCATATCGGTACCTTTTGTCGAAGGAAATCCCGATTTTTTTCAAGTAAAATTCGATCCAGATATTATACTTGACTTTCGAAGGAAATTGTGACCTTCATCCTGTTGTTTACCTCAATTGCTGATTAGTGAACCTGTTTTAGCGAATAGATTTAATCGCAAAGGTGTATTTGAGAAGTTCCGAACTATTTGAAGAGTTTACGGATTTTTGGGTATTAATTTAGGTAATACTTGACGAACTTTGCGTTATATGGCGCGTTTTTGAGCCCCGTTGTTTTCAGATACAGTGCCCGTTCCTGCCGGTTAGAATAGCAGAGTCTCTTTCTTGTTTATTTGCTGATTATCTCGTTGATTTGGGCTATTTTTTCGTTGATTACCTTGGTTTATATCAGTTTCGTGAATTCCATTGGTTTTGATTGGAATTTTGATAGTATTGTTGCGATTTTATCAGGTTTATCGTGCTGAAGATAAACTGTTCGTGTGTGAATTTGTTTCATTGATTATTAAATTGATTTTTACAGGAGAATTAAACAGATCCTTGAAAGACCCAGTATAATATCGAAATAGAAAAGGATTGTTGATAAGTCCCTTTGATTTTGTTGTTGTATCTTTAGATTGAAAGATTGAAGCATTCCCAAGAAAATTCTCGGCTCCCGACGTTAATTTAGTTGATTTGTTACCTAAAATTGGAAAAAAACTTTCAAAAAATGCCGAACTTCACGCCAATTTCTCCTCCTACTCCTTCCTTGCGTCCTGAAGACTTTCATCCTTATGATTCGCGGGTAGAAAGAACTGAATTCTACCAAGAAAGCACGAAAAAAGCATTGTCAGACATAAGCATCACAATTACATTAACAGAAACACAAATTTTTTCTCTGAAAATGGGCTGGGTGTCGTACATAACTGGCGATGAGAAAGAGGAATACATTTATGAGTTCCTTTACAACATCTTTGTTGTTACAGACGGACTAGACGTCGCAAATTGTTGCCTTGTACTGGAGAAACGACTTCAGGGTAGAATTTTGGAGTTCTATCAAGGATTAGACAAAAGAACCAATGACTTTTTTGATGTTATTGATCCATTAATTGAAGAATTTGTTTATAAAAGAGACTCCCTTGTTATCCCTGAAGAAGAGAAAACCTATAGCGACATTCTCTCTGCACTGTTAGTAGATTCTCCTGAACTTGATCGTCAGTTACTCTCAATTTCACCGCAATTGGATATAAGGCAGGTGCGTTAGTAATTCGCGCCGAACTTTCGAAAAATTTTGCCAAATCCTGACTGGGAGGCTCCCAGTCAGGAATCCCGGGATTCCTGACTGTTCGAACAGTCAGGAATCCCGGGATTCCTGACTGTTCGAACAGTCAAAAATTCTTGACTGTTGGTCCAGTCAGGAATCCCGGGATTCCTGACTCTACGTAGAGTCAAAAAAATCTTGACTGTTCGAACAGTCAGGAATCCCGGGAATCCTGACTGTTCGAACAGTCAAAAAATTCTTGACTGTTCGAACAGTCAGGAATCCCGGGAATCCTGACTGGACCAACAGTCAGGATTTTTTTTGACTGGGAGGCCTCAAATCGACCTCCCAGTCAAGAATTTTTTGACTGTTGATCCAGTCAAAAAAATCCTGACTGTTCGAACAGTCAGGATTCCCGGGATTCCTGACTGTACGTACAGTCAGGATTTTTTTGACTGTTGATCCAGTCAAAAAATTCTTGACTGTTCGAACAGTCAGGATTCCCGCAAATCCTGACTGGGTCAACAGTCAAAAACTTTTTGACTGGGAGCTCGATTTGAGGCCTCCCAGTCAGGAATTTTTTGACTGTTCGAACAGTCAGGATTTCCGCAAATCCTGACTGGGTCAACAGTCAAAAACTTTTTGACTGGGAGCTCGGTTTGAGGCCTCCCAGTCAGGAATTTTTTGACTGTTCGAACAGTCAGGATTTCCGCAAATCCTGACTGGGTCAACAGTCAAAAAAATCTTGACTCGATCAACTACTTTTCTGAATCAAAAAGTAGGCATACAAAATAGAAGTTCAAGTATTTATTGTCACATAAACAGTTGTGAAATAAGAATACGCTGTTGATATGTGAGTTTAATTGTGAAGAGGCATCAAATACATCAAATAATAAACAAAAGGCATCAAATACATCAATCAATCCACAAATGGCATCAAATACATCAAAAACAACATACAATTCCTAAAGTTTATATCGAGTATGGGGTTATACAGATTCTTGGGTAATTCTTGGCTTAGTTCGCATCATCTTCACTGTCTTCACGGCTTTGTCTTCTGCTCCGTTGATGACCTCCTCTGGATTGGCGGTAAACGACTTCCTGAGGTGGGGAATTGGAGTTCGAACGGTCGGCGAGGATGAGACAAATCGTTTGGCGCCCGTTATTTTGACGGATCAGTTCCTGAATGGAGGGAGGAAGATCTGGAGGACTTGAAGCGCCAACTCGACGAGCATCAGATCTGGCCAACGAACTGCTTCCCATGGGGCGGTCTTGGCGGCTTCTTGACGGCCCAGGTTCCTGATCAGCTGTGCCAGGTGAGCTACCACGCGGGAGCAATCGAAAAAAGTCACTGAAATATATAAACATTAAAATACATCAATATTTAACTACGAATCACAATTTTAAAAATTTTTCTGTCTTACCTTGGCTGGGCACTGTCCCATCGACTTCTCTTCTCAGCTGGCGTGGCTGCATCTTCCGTTCGAGGTCTGGAACGGCTCCGATCAAGTTCTCCACGTCTAGGACTTCCACGTCTGCTTGCTGGAGTATCCACTTGTCTTCCACGGCTCACAGGGCTTTGACGTCTGCTTGCTGGAGTATCCGCTTGACTTTCACGGCCGACGGGACTTCTTCCACGTCTACTGGAAGCTCGAGAAGGACTTCTTCTTCTGTTTTGAACACCCGAGCTCTGGCGTCGACCAGATTGACCAAAGGAGCTGGGCCGATGAGCCGATTGACCAAAGGAACCCTGACGACCACGATATTGACCACCTGAGCTTTGCCGACGACCTGGTTGATTCGACCATCTCATTTCTGGGAATCTTTCCCTTTCCGCCTCTCTTTCCTCATGGGTTGTGATCGTGTCCAACAGAGCATCGTTTTCTTCCTGAAAAATAAAAAAAAAACATGGAAAACTCGTGACAGCCGTACAAAGTAATAAAAAAAAAAAAATAAAAACTTACATCGTAGCGATGGTAGACGTTGTAACCAGTTTTGCCTCCTTTGATATGCAGGGATTTCGCCTTCAAAAAAATGTAGTCCAGGAGATTTGTGGTAGGGTCGTAACGCTCCCGATGCGGGTTATTACACCCAAGCAATATAAACGCGCGGCAGGCTCTCGTGAGGGCAACGATCATCCTTCCACATTCATCCAAGGTTGGCCATCCGTACTGGTTCCCCGACATGAACCCCTTTTGGTTCGTCCTGGTCAGATCAATCAAAACAACTTTACTGTCCAGCGAAGGAGTCCGGTCGACATTCAACACCAACAATTCCTTGAGCTCTTCCATTCCCGGCTGCGCCATCAGTTGATAATACTTGGTTTCTTGTTCTAAATATAAAAAAAATCGTAACTGTAAAAACCTCTAAATAAAAGAACCTCAAAAAAAAAGAGTTCCAACTTACTCCTATAAGGAGCAACCACCATAAAATCCGCTAGGCTTAATCTCGAGTCATCTGGCTGCGGAGTGCGAAGCAATACTTTGATAAGGGCGAAGACCGCTGCACAGAACGATCGGTTCACAAAGACGCGTGGGAAACCCGCCCGGTCCAAACACCTGTCTTGGGTTTGGTTGAACTCATACGGCATAAAGTCCAGTACCAAGGTCATGAACTTTCTCTTCTGAAGGTCATTCACAAAGGCCGAGGAAAAGGGATGCTCAGGGTATTTCGAGAAATCCATCCATATGGGGTTTGGAGCGGGAGCGTGGCAGAAACTGAACTCGTAAGGGCTGAAAATTTACATTTAAAATCAATTCATTTCAAAACAAAATGTAAATACATCTCATGAAATCAAAACCAAAATAATAAAACTTACTACAAGTCCTCAATCATCGAGTACAATTCGCGGCTAGCCCGCAATATTTCCTTCAGATTCGTAACCGGCATTCCATTCCGCATCAACATAGAGAACGGGTCGAGGTTGAACCCCGTGGGGTGCAGAAGTTCTTCGTTCAGGAACTGGGGCTCAGCGAAATTGACCTTGAGTTGACGCGTGTCTCCCAAAAGGATAAAATGACTCGGAATGGCTCGGTTCACATTCTTCTTGGCATTGATTTCCTCGTTCAGCCGGACCAACAACAAGCACAAGTCGATATGCGGAGCCATCGTGGCCTCGTCCAACAAGATCTCCTGGGGGAAAAATCCCTCGAGCGCTGTGCAGTTCGCATTGCCGAGACTTGTGATGACCATCATTGTTCCCTAAACACTAATAAAGCAATCAAACGAACTTACCACAGGGAGCTTGCTTCCATACCGCGAGTATTTACGAACACGTGGCGATCTCTTGAGAGAAAAAACGTGCATCTTGCTCATCTGGAACGTGAAGGGAATTGGGCCTTCAGGGACCAAACCAATAAAGTCTGGGCTGGCTTTCAGAGCCTCCACCATGGTCACCAAGCGATGTGCCATCTCCGATGCCGCACTGTTTCTGGTTGTCATTGCGAGTGTGGTTTTTCCTAACATCACCCAATTATACACCATCGCGAACACCATCACCGTGGACTTGCCTACACCTGGCGGCCCCTAAAAGCAAAATTCAAAAACGAAAATCGACATACATTGATCAAGAAGGTTTCATGCTGGTACGCCTGATACAAAGCATCCACTTGGCCATGGGTGAGCTTGAACTTGTCTGGCACCAGAGCATTGAAGTCCTGCAAGGCCCGCAATGAGACTTTATGGACAAACACTTGGCGATTCTTCTCCGCGTGCTCCATCATATTCCAATTGTTCCAATTTTCCATCCACTGGAAAGCCCACGTGGGGAAAACAGGCAACTCTTTCATCGGACCCAGATCTCTCAGCTTCTTGATTGCTCGCATCTTGTCCACTGTGCCTTCATCGAAAGACAGCGTGTAGCGGCACTGTGAACCTTCAGGAGGGAACGGACTATGAGTATCGAAGTTGTTCTCGCCGAGAAATCTGTTCAACAACTTTGAGGTCTCAATCTCCAATACTGAAAAGTAAAGATAAACATGAAGCAAGCAAATCAAAAATCTAAACCTTTTAAAACCAGCATACCTGCTTCGGGATGGAAGTCATTGGGAGGCTGACAGGAAAACAAAATCAAACGTTCTCGGTTGACGGCAATCTGTCTTCTTGGGATTGAGTCTGGCCAAGTCGGATCCCTCTTATCCTCCATGGTCTCATCTTTGTCCTCCGGATGGAGGTTAAGGTAAATATAAGTTGCGCGACGGGCATTGTCTTGCAACAGGGCTGAAACAAACAAAAAAAATAGTACACTTGGCTGAAGTACCTAGTACAATATAATTTTGCTAAAAAAAATTCAAAAGTTTGAATACACTTGACTCAGCTACCTAGTACAATATAATTTTGCTAAAAAAAATTCAAAAGTTTGAATACACTTGACTCAGCTACCTAGTACAATATAATTTTGCTAAAAAAAATTCAAAAGTTTGAATACACTTGACTCAGCTACCTAGTACAATATAATTCTGAAAAAATAAATTCAAAATTTTGAATACACTTGACTCAGATACCTAGTACAATATAATTTTGCTAAAAAAAATTCAAAACTTTGAATACACTTGACTCAGCTACCTAGTACAATATAATTTTGCTAAAAAAAATTCAAAAGTTTGAATACACTTGACTCAGCTACCTAGTACAATATAATTTTGCTAAAAAAAATTCAAAACTTTGAATACACTTGACTCAGCTACCTAGTACAATATAATTTTGCTAAAAAAAATTCAAAACTTTGAATACACTTGACTCAGCTACCTAGTACAATATAATTCTGAAAAAATAAATTCAAAATTTTGAATACACTTGACTCAGATACCTAGTACAATATAATTTTGCTAAAAAAAATTCAAAAGTTTGAATACACTTGGCAATACAACCTACTCTTCAGCTTGAGTTGTTCCTCAGACCTTCCTGGAGTGAACTTGACGCGGATCCTCTGAATTCTGGCTTCATCTTCTTCAGCATTCGGATCGTTGGGCAATCGCGTGACGGACATCTTCTCCAACTGGTACTCGTTCGTCTCCCGGGCCATCAATTTCTTCACTGACAATTCGACCGCGGCCAAGTTGTATTCCACTAAAACAAGAACAATAACAAAGTAAATTTGACTTACGGTTGAAATTTATGAAATCTGGTGGGCAACGCAACTGGTCTTCTGGCCTTTCCTCATAATGGGTACCCAAACGCACGTCGTCCTCTGAAGCTGGAGTCATCCGGGCAAGCCGAGTGTAGAACTCGCGGGTCCATTCGTGATCAGCCATCGGAGCCGGGGGAGTTTCAAGGCGATTCTCGGCTTCGGCGAAGATGACATCACGATCGTATGGCAATCTGGCGTGTCCATGGCATCTGGGCACGCATTTCAAGCGGTGGTTTGGGACAAAGCTGTCGTTCACCCGCCTCTCTTGCTCGCTTCGGCCGCATATAATGCATCTGAAAGGACAGCCGGTCGAATCGATGTTGTGCAGAGAGGAGGCGCAATTCCAACATCGTCCTCTGTATTCATCCGTGTTGAACGGTGCCACTTGCAACACCATCTTTTCAACCACTTGGCGCACGCAAGGGACGGAAAAATGAGCCAACACCTGAAATTACATTGCTTTTATATCTCCAAAAAAATCTCAATTTCCTAAAAATTTGCATAAATGCAGTACAAAAACAGTTCATTTTTTCCCAAACAATTCTTACCTGAAACTTTGAACTCCAAACTCCAAAAGCTCCTAATCTGAAATGAGTAAGCACACTTGGCGGAAGTCCTGAGCTGCAGCGGGCGTCCACTTGGCGGTGCTTCCACTTGGCCTGAAATTCCGAGAAAACAATAAACCGAATAAAATAAAGAACCACCAACCGCGCGAAAAAATTAAAAAGCAAACTCGAAAATTTGAATGAAAAATGTTTTTCTTTCTTCGAAAGAAAAAGAAAACAAGGATTTCTCGAGAAAAATACGGTATCTGAATTTCGTGCCGGGACCCAACGCAAGAGATTGCTGTCGGCATTTCGAGTTGCCGTCGGCAATCTTTCACGAAAACGGAATGCCAAACAAGCGTTTTCGTCGCGGGAATTCGCGAAAACGCTGCGAATCTACTTTTTCCGAAAAAAATAAATGTTTTTCGCAGATAACATTGGTAGATGAATCTGTTTTTTGCACAACAAATGAAAAAACATTATTTTACACAGTACATCAGTAGATTTATCAGTAACATAACTGCAAATATCAAATGACTGAAACATATTCGCATAATTTACTGAAAGCACAGGAAACAATAACCAAAAAGGCAAATAAATTATCGCGGAGGAGGGGAGTAAACAGTCTTCTTGGCACGCGGGCGTCCGTAAGAGGATACCGAACTTCCGGTTTGAGATGGCGGGTTCATAGCTCCCCGGGAAGTAGTTGGCACATCTGCTGACCGGAATAGCTGACTTTGGGAGAACATCCGGGCCAACGCAACTTCTTCCTCGTCGGATCGTTCGCCACAACTTTCATCCCCATCTGCGCTGTCTTCGTTTCCTTTTCCGCTTCCATCTTCGGGAGGTTTCTTGGTTTGGGATTGGGATTTCCGCTTTGATGCCTAAAAGCATAACTTCAATAAAAAAATTCTTACCTTCTGCACGGTCGGCGGGATTTTCTGCTGTGCCTTGACGACTCTGATAAAAGCTTTGACGACGTTGTTCTGGGGATCCTCTAACGGTTCAGGTGGGGTTTCCAACGGGATAACATTGTTGCTGATGTTCTGCATGACGGAGTCGATTGGGACGGCGGGCAAGTTCTTGACCATTTCCAAGTAGCTGAACAGAGCCGGGAAGGTGTCGGGCTTGAGCAGTCGTTGGATGTGTGCCGCGTTTTGATTCAATCGGTCCTCGTACTTCTCCACCAGAAAAGAAGATGGAAGCGGAGTTTGCAGCTCATAATCATTCTAAACAAATAATAATTGAATGCATAATTTTCTTTACTCACTGGGCACAATAAAAGGCTGAACCTTTCCGAATCCAACTCCGGGAACATAGCTTTCACTTGGCTCAAATCAACATACTCCGAACTTCGAATGTATTCGCGAAACTTGACTCGAATACCATCCACTGCACGGTAAATTTCAATGTAGTTGTTGTTGTACAGGGAGTCCGGGAAATCAGTGGGTGCTGGCTTGAAGTCCCATACTGTGAATTCGTCAACCACTTTGAAAACAGCATTCATTCCTCTAACAAGCTCCTTCATCTCAGCCGGAGTTTCAATCCGCCGACCAACCAGTTTTTTCGCCACGTTTCCGAAAAAAGCATCAACCTAAACGCAAAGTAAATCAAAACCAATTAAAACATACATTGTTATGAGTGTGACCGCATTCTTGATAAGCGAAAATGATCTTTTGGAGACGGGGACACCGGTTCAAGAGGAAGCGACCAAAATTTAGTGTTGTTTTTGACTTGTTGGACCGGGCATTGTCGGTGTTCAAGATGATTGTTGGCGGCAGATTTTTGACACTCTCCAAGACATTCAGAATATTGGAATATACACTTGACCCTTGTGCAGAGGAGGGGTGGAAAAAGGCATGAACATACCCTCGAAACGATTCACAGGGATTGAAACATGAAGGCAAAGGGACTAAAAAACCAGATAAGTAACAAAAGTTTGCTTACCGTGGCGGGAGACAATGCAGATATTCAGCTGGTAATTGATAATTTTGTTGCATCCACTCAGTTCTTTTGGAACAATGTCTCCTAAGCAGGGCAAAGAAGTCTTAGTTGCACTCATGCCGTCGTATTTCAGAAGTAACGTCTGGTTTGGAGCATGAAGAGAAGCCGCATTCCACTGTTCCACTATAAGTCTGTCCGAGTACACGTTTTTGTAGTGCGCCTCCAGTACCTCTTTTCCTGTACGTGGCACGTCGTGTATGACATGAGACACTGTCGAATTCTGAACACAGAAATATAAATACAATAAAAAATTACCTTTTGCAAGATACAGCATGTGTTACACTTGGGGAGTAAAGTGGTTTTGTCAAAGGTTAGGGAGACACCTTGTTCTTGAAGCAAATGAATCAGATTATTGACAGTGCGTGATGAAAGATTAGCGCCCGACAATGGAGGGACAGATGAATTCTGAAATTGATCTAAAGCCTCCGACAACATAGACTTTTTGTTGAAATGAGGCGGTACCATCCACTTGGCAGATTCTGGAGATGGTTCAAGATGCGTGCGAACAAACTTTGTCGCAGCTTCAAGTCGATTGGCAGTAATGGCTCGGAGTCTTTGCCTGTACACCGTGCGGGAATCCATAACAAATTCGACGAGTCCCCGCCGTTTGGAATCCAGCGCCTCACGAACACTAAACCAGATTCTCGCTTTAGCTGAAAAAGCCTACAATCTATGTGATACGCAGTACACCTGGGCGAAAAAACGGGGGCAGACAAGTTCGTTGCAGATTTTGAGGCATTTTCCTTCAGATTCGAAGTAAATTTTCGCACTCACAAACAATCTTCGCTCTTCAACTGGTATTGGCATCAAAAGACGTTCGCCGATTATGTCAAAAGGCGCGAAACGAAGCGGACACGTTCTCGTACAACAACGTAAAGACGCTTCGTTGAAAAGCTGCTGAATAGGACAATGTTTCGGGCCGAGGGCTGCGGGAATCGATGCGAGATAAAATTCAAGCGCTTTGGTACAACCTAAAATCACACAGTTTGAGTTAAATGTTATTGAAACTGCAAATGTCCATTATAAAAAAATTTTGTCTTACTTGAACGACTCTTCAAACGGCCCCGAACGTCGGCATACAAAACTGTCTGTCCTCCCCAATTTTGCGGTATCTCCAAGTTCATGCGGCGACAAAAATCGACGAGATCAAAGTCGTCTGGCGTTTCGTCGAAGGGATCACCACTTGGCGGAGTATCACCACTTGGCGGGGTATCACCACTTGGCTGAGTATCACCACTTGGCTGACGATGCCCACTTGGCGCGTCCATCACCCACAAAACTTTGCGAAATATTTTCTAAAATTCGGACAAGTCCGAGAAAAGAAACAAATTTTGCGGCTAACACGCAGCGAAACGAAATTGTACGGAAAACAAGGACGCACAAGCGTTTTCGTTTCGAAACGCGCGTTTTTGTGGCGGAAAACCGCTATTTGGCGGGAAGTAGGGAAAACAAACGGTCATTTTGGTTTCATCCCTATTCTTGTTTCGTGTTTTCCGTGAAAATGTCGGTTTTTTGAAATTTTTTCGACAAATTTCTTCAAGTTTGGTTGGTTTCAGGTCTCGTGGTCTCCTGGAAGGGATGGACTCTCCAGAAACGCCGCCAAGTTCCCGCCCCCGCCAAGTGAATGTCTCCAATGATAGCCAGATTTCAGAAAACAGCAGTGGGTCAAGGTCAAGTTCACAAAGACGTCGTTCGTTGAGAGCTCCGTCGAAAATCCGCCCCACTAAATACATCAGACAAGATCCTGGCAATTTTAGGATACACCCAAACCTCCATAGCATCGTGAGAGAAGCGCATGGTAAGATTACTGCTGATAATGTTGATTTTAACCTTCTTTTTTCTGATTTCACGCATTTTCAGCTATGCTCAACCAGTTGGACCCGGAATCGGTGTCTGCTTTTGCGGTGAATGTGAACAAGGAGCACATAAATTATGCCTTCCTAAACAAACTGAAGGATCTGCAAGATAAAGGCGAGGTGACCCTTCAAAAGCAAACGGTCGTCGTTTACTCGGATGGAAGCGAAGGAGAGGAACGATACGAAGTACTTGACGGAAATCACAGAATTCTCGCCTTACAAGAGTGGTTTTTGCGGAAATACGGGCCTGATAACCTGGACAAGCTGAACCATCACATCATCTCCGCTATAATCGTCCGCCAAGTGTGTTCTCCGGAGACTAGGTGTCTCATTGGGTGGAAAGCGCATGTTGGAACTTCGTGCCACGTTCAAGCTCGTCGCAATGTCAAGAAGAATGCAGGTTTAGATTCGTTATTCTGAATTTAGGTGATTGAAGGTGGAAGCTCTGATGAAATTGCGTAAAACCTTTTTCCCATACATGCTGCAGACAGCGGTCCTTTCCCGAGCATATAGTACGAATTTGAAGGGCCGTATAAAAATCGAAACAGGTTTGGAGATCCCAGAACACCACATCTACGTGGCATTTCGACCAGAGGATGAAAGAGAACGCCTTATTGAGCTCACTCAACTACTGGAAAAGCAAATGGCGGAGAAAGCAGCTGACCCACGGGACGACAGAAGCCTTGTGCAATACAAGAGTGCGGACAAAACAACATTTTGGCGACGATTTATAGAAGTTTACGATGACAGATTAGATGAATGCCGTGCCGAGTTGAATGCAATCATTATTGAGGGACGTACTGGTCCGTTGAACACCACCAATATTTTGACGGTAATCAAACTCGGAAAGTTTTTACTTCGTTTTTATTTGCAGAGGCTTAGGCACAAATCGTCAAAGTTGACCGTTTTCTTGGACAAATACTACGCACATCTTCCTACGTCTTGTTACTTATACAAACCACATGCATTCGACTTCAATGGATCTCTTGACTTCATCGGAAGCTGCAGCAGAAATTTCGGACTTGAAGAAATGAAGAAAAGGGGAGAAGTACCGAGCGTGCTGAAAATGCTGAAAGTTGCGAGGTTGTATTTCGGGCAACCAGAAGAGACGGACCCGCTTGTGACCATTCTGGCAGACCTCCAAGTTCCGGATTGGAAACATGAAGCACTTGCAAATGATGCTCAATTCGTTTTTTTGGATTTGGATTCGGTAAGATAAGAAATTAGTTGTGTTAGACTGTTGTATTTAGTTCAAAGACTGTGCGTCTACAGTCATGTACGAGATCGAGAAGATGGACTTATGCCTGAAATCCGTCCTTTTGATAAACCAACACCCCAACTTCGACACGGCCGGACTTGAGAACCCCCAGTGGAATGCATTGAAGGTGTTTTTGAATGAGTGGAAATTCGACACACAGTGGGATGTGCTTCATCCCGATGTTGGGTTTGGCGCCGTAGAACGGCAGAGTTACCTCCAACACTTCAAAAAGGAGGATACGTTCGCAATGTACGGAAGAGAAGACAAGTCAGCCACCTTAGAGCAGATCCCGAGCATGTTCCCCGAAAATTTCTGTGGAGTTTACTTCGTTGGGAACAGAGACTGTAAGTTTTGCGATTTTTCTATTGATTGTCTTGTCTTTAGGCCGCCGTATTGCCCGCCACACGGTCCCAAGAAGAGAGAACAACATCATTGTGTACCGTTACCTGGAAGACCTGTATGCCGCCCATGAAATTTCAGGCCAAGTGTCCGGAACGCAATTTTGGAGCCGAACCAGGGCCTACTACGACGATGTACACGACGACACTTCCGAGTCCGTAGACATGTAACACTGTTATTGTTATTTTTAGGTTTAGTTTTAGCGTATGTTTACTAGTTATTTTTCGTTTGTTTGTTACTTCTGTTCAGTAAAGGAAGGTTGAATTATGAACAGTGAACTTTTGTTACTATCAATTGTTGCAAGCAACAACCGTACATAATCTTTACTCGCGTATAATCCATTGTTACCGAAGACTGGAAAAAACAACTCATCCCTGTAGTCCATTTTTTTGACTGTTCGAACAGTCAGGATTTGCGGAAATCCTGACTGGGTCAACAGTCAAAAAATTCTTGACTGTTCGAACAGTCAGGATTTGCGGAAATCCTGACTGTTGGAACAGTCAAAAAATTCCTGACTGGGAGGTCGATTTGAGGCCTCCCAGTCAAAAAAATCTTGACTGTTCGAACAGTCAGGATTTGCGGAAATCCTGACTGGGTCAACAGTCAAAAAATTCTTGACTGTTCGAACAGTCAAGATTTCCGCAAATCCTGACTGGGTCAACAGTCAAAAAATTTTTGACTGGGAGGCCTGAAATCGACGTCCCAGTCAGGAATTTTTTGACTGTTCGAACAGTCAAGATTTGCGGAAATCCTGACTGGATCAACAGTCAAAAATTTCTTGACTGTTGACCCAGTCAGGATTTGCGGAAATCCTGACTGTTGGAACAGTCAAAAAATTCCTGACTGGGAGGTCGATTTGAGGCCTCCCAGTCAAAAAATCTTGACTGTTCGAACAGTCAGGATTTGCGGAAATCCTGACTGGGTTAACAGTCAAAAAATTCTTGACTGTTCGAACAGTCAGGATTTCCGCAAATCTTGACTGTTCGAACAGTCAGGAATTTCTTTGACTGTTCGAACAGTCAGGATTCCCGGGATTCCTGACTGGGTCAACAGTCAAGATTTTTTTGACTGTTCGAACAGTCAGGATTCCCGGGATTCCTGACTGTTCGAACAGTCAAGATTTTTTTGACTCTACGTAGAGTCAGGATTCCCGGGATTCCTGACTGGACCAACAGTCAGGAATTTTTTGACTCGGTTAACAGTCAGGAATCCCGGGATTCCTGACTGGGTGCCTCCCAGTCAGGATTTGGCAAAATTTTTCGAAAGTTCGGCGCGAATTACTAACGCACCTGCCTTATATGAATATTCTCCCTTCGACGCTGCCATCTCAAGACGAGGCCTATCGAGCTTTCCAGCAACAGAAAGTTTTAGCGACAAAAACACCTGATTCATACTATAATTTCAGTGAAAAACTGAATCGTCGTGAAAAGAATTGTTCTAGGAAGAAACGAAAACATATTCGCTCGTCGGAAATCCTTCCGGAAGCTCCAGAACAACTTGAAGATTGTTCCTACCAACCTAATTCGACCGAGCCTACATCTTTCTTCCATGATAAATATCTCGACCTCAAATTTGATTCATCGCCTGACCCAGAAACGACTCCATCAGTTTCACCAGATCGAACTACACACATTTTACAGAGTTTGCTACAAAAACTTCAAAGGAATGAAGAGTTAATCGAAGCAACACTGGCTAAGACGAAGCAAATTGTCGAGTTGCAAGAGCTAAGTCGAGACGGAAAATCTTCTAAATTTCCCCAAACAGAATCAAAAGTTCAAGAAACAGTAGTACAAAATTTTGAATTTGATTATGGAGACTTTGAATTGTTATTTGCTGAGCCAGAGGTACCGTTGTTGACCACAAAAGAACAGCCAGATTATACCTTGGAATTATCACAAACTGTATTCAAGACCTGGAGCAAAGAGAAAGTGAACAAAAATATTGACTTTATGGAAATTTTGGATGATTCTCTCTATGTTGAATGGATAAAAATTGTTCCTATTGGCAAGGAATGTTCAGAAATAGTTGCTAATCGTCGAACAGATCATGTTCTTGACAAGTTTGATAATTTCGAAGAGTCGAATAATTTTGAATTGGTGCCAAGTTTTACCCTGGACCAGAATATTCAAAGTTGCGATAATTTTAAAGACGAAAGTGGCTTCTCGAACTCGTTTCTTCCCGCAAAAGGTTGTAAATTTAAATTTCTTCAACAAAATCAATGTTTGAATGACTTATTGGATCAAAGAAACCCGGCCGAATTATCAAATTACTCGCGAATTGAAGGCAAAGGATGCAAATTTAAAGGATTATTGGATGATTTTGGTTACAACAGAAATTTCTCAAACGGCAAAATCATGAACCCTGGTGAAGAAAAAAGGAATGCAAAGAGCTTACACTCAAGTTCTGAGACGAATATCACCTTATCTTACCAGAAAATCAAAGGAAAGGGCACAAAATTCAAATCTTTGGAAATTATGCTAATTTTTACGACGAATTTGGTTGTAAATCGCTATCTAATTATGGAGTTGCCGTATTTTATTGTAGTATCTTGTATTATTTTGGAGGTATTTCTATTTTTGGTTCGTAAATACTCTGTTTACTTGTTTTGTTCCTACCCAAGTCAACTATTGTTGGACATTGACTTTACTCGCAGACCTCGATGGCAAATTCTGAAACGCCGGGACGTCGTTTAGTAGAGTAGTGGGGTGGACTTAGGGAACGGAAACATTATTTTAGGGATTTTATTTGAGCTTTTTAGAAAATTGAGGTATTTAGTTAATGTTAGGTTTTAAGAATTCAATTTTATTTTTTATTTTTTCAGATACGGGGACCGTATCTCAAAGAAGGGTGGCAAGTAGGACCCGGACCAGCACCATGATCAACAATCACAAGTTCAAACACATTTGGAGCCCTTCAACACCTTTGGAGCCAGCGGAACTTCAAGAACAACCCGCACGGATACCCGCAAATGATCTCACCACGGAAACATTTATTGGTATTCTGCAGCAACTACGATAGGATCCACGAAGACGGGGGAATTCAGAAATTGGATAAGGGATAGATGGAAATATAGGACAGGAATTGGTCAGAGGTTGGAGACGGCCAGAAGGAGGACAGAAGAAGGACGCGCGAGGGCGTGAACCCGAGTAGTATCAGTTGATACAGTTGGTCTTGGGTTCTTATTGTTGACTTGTTTACTCTTGTTTTGGTATTTTCCCCAGTTGTATCGTTTGGCTTGGATAAACTTATCACTCGTACGTGTTTGGCGAGTCGTTTCTAGGAGATCTCCGGATTCTTATCCTCAAGAACTACCCCAAATCAGTTCTAATCGCTTTACCGGCATGGCTGAGAAACAACAACGATTTTTATGGACGAGACAGTACGCAAAATGCGGAAACGGGGTAGATAAAGAACTTTTTTTGCGCTGCAAATTTGATATGAAAAAGAATTCAAAGTCTCAAGCATTTGAAAGAGGTTGAAACTACTCAAATTGCCATTCTAGGACATAGTAATGGTTTGGCCCGCTACCTGTCACTCTGTCGGGAAAGTAATGAGCACCTGTTGCGTCGAAAATCGCATGGCCGCCGAGAAAATCAGTCGTGTCGCGGCAAAATCAATTTTTTTTTCACTTCAGCGACGCAATATGCGCGGTGACATTATACTCATCATTTTCCCGACAGACTGATATGCAAACATGTCTTCAGCACTTCGGGTATTCTGTCTTATGTCAAAAGCTAGCTTTTTTATGATAATGTTGTAAAATATTTGAAACAATCAAATCTTAACTTACAAGATCCAACACATAACGCAATGTCCAGCAGACTCCTCAGCCACGGCAACGGTTCCAATCGCTCCAAGTCCGAGGAGACTGACATCTCTCTAAAATTGCAAAATTTAATATCCTTTGTTTGATGCTTTTGTATGAAACAGAACCATAATGCATCAAAAACGGAGGGATGATTGTAAACGCTTTTGCGAGAATTCTTTGAGCATTTCAAAAAATATATTTTCTTTCTCTGCGATCTATCATTTTTTTGATCTTAAACTTGCGCAGGCTAAAAAATGATCGACACCCGCTGACCACAACTTTGCGTGAGTCAATTGGGAAATATGGTTGTTTATAGAGCAATGTTGGGGTAACTTTTTTGTGCAATGGAAAAGACAAGGTAGCCTATGTATGACGAACGTGTTAAAATGGAAAGTTGAGAGACAGATTTACAGGATAAAACGTCATCATTACTAATAGCGGATTTCCTAGTCAAAGCTGAAAATCCGACAGTAAAAAAAAATAAATAAAATTATTAGTCAGACAGTAACGTGGGAAGTTGAAGGGAAGTAAAGGCGGGCCCACACTTGCAGGTAACCTCTTTGCGGGAAGCTGGAAGAACCATGGAGATTCTGCCGGCATGGTTAGAAATCAGCCAACAAATGCTTGCAAGAGGAAATTCTAACGATAAATTTGTCTGTTAGATGTTGCGAATTAAGTTGCTGAGTGTATAGGAGGCTTGAATAGTTACCATAAAGTTAACTAGGCATTTTTTTCCATTTTTTGCAGACAAACTGCCATAACTTTGAAAATGATGGATGAATTTCAATAGATTTGTGTATTTATCTGTACCAGAGAGTTGTCAATGCAAAATTTCTATCTTACAACGTAGATTAGGGGAGGGAAATCGTAATTCTACTCAAAAAATGTCGACTGCCCGCAAAATGCTTGGCCGCAAAGTGTCACAACGCCAATGGAAAAAGCAACGAAGACCTCTAATAACAAAAGTAGAATAAAAGAAGAATAAGTATTGAAACATAAATTTTAAGCGAAAGACCAGCTGTAAAAATATGAAGATGTACGTGAACAACGGCCTAAAAGCGAGGAAATTCATCTTTTGATCATCTATAAAAATTACCGCTTATATGAAACAGGACAGGATTTTGCAAACTGTTTTAGGGTTTTCGGTTGCTTAGGTAATCCCTATCGGACACAGTTGAATGGAACAGGATTAAACGACCGGATAAACGGGATTTTCAAAAAAGGAAAATTCGCAGAATTTAGCTCTTTTGCAGTTTATGATCATCATTGCAGGCATTTATAGCGATTTACGCTCCAAATTTGCGTCAAAAAACAATCCAAAATATAGCCAAAGATCAAAAAATAAACAAAAAAAAATCATCTGCTAGTCTGAACACTTCGAACCAAAACAATTTCCGCTTCCAAAACAACATTTTTTCCAGTACAAAAAATTGATTACTCATCTTGAATATTCATCCATACAAACTTCCAACCAAAATATCATGAACAAAACCGCCTCGATGCGAGGAAATTTGTTTGCTCAGCTCTCGAAAAAGCGGTTGAATGATAGTTTGCAAATCAAGTTCAACTTGACATTTGATAGTCCTCAAGAAATCTTGTCTGAAAAGCGAGGAGAATCTTGAAAAAAACCACTGAAGGGAGAGAACCGCTTATCGTTTTCTTCTTCCTTACAAAGCAGGAACGTCTTTTGATAACGTATTAATCATAGAAACGTTAGAAAGGAGTGGTGCGCTTGCAAGTAAAGATTTTGCAAAGTTTTGACGGGTTGGTTTTTTCTTCTTTTTCATTTAGGAAATACAGTTGTTTGGCCGTTGGAAAAACGCTTCCAGCTTCTGTTGAATCATTGTTTTCCGTCTGCAATTTCGGAGAATCAGGGCAAGACGGCGCTTCGATTTTACGGAAATTTAAAGCGGCTTAATTGACAGTCGGACTGCGTAAAAGTTTGAGTTCCTTTATTTTTAAAATCCACTTCATTCATCAATCCTCCTTTAGGCATAGTAATCAAGAAACTGATTCCTCTAAATGGCCTATAAGCCAACTTTTTAACCGCGCTTTTTATGACTTACGTTAAAAACGAAAAAAGTTCCTTCGGCAATTGCAGCAATAACGACGAAAAAAGAAATGATGACATTTCAAACGTTTACTATACATAAACATTTGAAATTTCTATAGTGTTTTACTGTTCGCCGTTTTGTCGCCTTTGCTTTTCTGATTGCAAATAAAAAAATGGTGATGAAATTCCGTTTACCATGTCATAAAAGGCGCGATAAGAGTATTTCCACTGGCTTGATACAATTACCAGATCTTAACCGAGCTTTGCAAAGAAAATTGTGTGTGAATTAGATGTCGATGGAGAGCAAAGTGTTCAAGCATTTTTAAGCGCAAATCTGAAGATCAAGACTTTTCCTTTCTTTCAATCCATTATCCAGAGGTTTACGTTTAATATTCTGCAATAAATGATATTTCTTACTTCCGCATGCTGTCACAGAAGGCACCAAACAACTCTGATGAAGTTGTAACACTTCTTTTCTCTAATCCGGAGCAGACGTTACCACATCAACAACAATTTCGAAAAGCACTAGTTTGCTCAAAACAGTCTTCTTCCGTCATTCTTTAGGGATATTACACATCTTGCGTTTGTTGTACCAGCATACAATTCATTTTCCCCAACTTTTTTTTGAATGAAATATTTACTAAAATTCGATTATTTATTATCATTATTACAAGCGCAATCTTCGTTGAGATCAGGTAGTCAAAATGTTTTCATACAGGAAGTGTCAATTTTATAATTATGCAAAATATTAGAGACAGATATTATATTGCAAAATTCAAGTGATTTGAGATCTCCAACATCCATACTATAGCGGTTATACAAAGTCGATATTAATCAAGTGACATTTCAAGGGTCCTAATTGTCTATGAAGAGGCTTCAGAATCGCTCAACTGTAACTGTAGCCTCTCTGACTGGACTGAGAAGTCGTCTCCTTGTGACGGTCTCATCCTCTTCCTCTTTTGAGTCTGATTCACGGGGACTTTCCACTTCTTTGGGTGTCTTTAAAGACGGCGGTGGTGCTGAAACAATTTCGTTGAGAAAATGAGCCGTCCTTTAGGTAGCTGGACAGAGTTCAGTAAGAAGCTCTATCACCGTAAAACGAGAAACGTTTATACGTTTTTTATCGCTCTACAGCGACGGACCTGAACCAGAGCCAAAAAACCTACCATTTTGCATCCGGGAAGTGTCAAAAAATGTGGCAAAATGCCAACTAAAAAAAATTTCGTTTATAAGAGCCCTTTGCCTCACAAAAAGAGCGCTTTTAAAATCCTAGTTATTTCACTTGTCGACGGAGGTATTTTGCCATATTTTTGATGTTTCCCGGATGCAAAATGGTACGTTTTTCGCCAGTAGATCAGGTCCGCTATTCTACTTACATGCCACCTCGGAGCTCCTTCGATTTTCTTCATTCGAATTTGAGTTCTTCGAATTGCTGGCACTTGACTTCAACGGCCACCATTGCAAGATCTTATCCTTTCTTAATGCGAAAAAGTTGTTGGTCTTGTTGAACGTGCTACTGCTATCTGGTCGGATTCCATTCTTCGAGTGAGATGAGGAAGTGACCGGGGACTGACAGCAAACTCCCTCCTTCAGACATCGCAGGACACACTGACGGGCCTTGTCATTCATTACAACGTGCAGGAAAAAGATGAATGTACCCTGAAATTTGGTTTTTAAAATACGACAGGTTCAAGTCACCGAAGGAAAATCTAAATAATGAACACTTACTTGTAATGAATTCAAGATGGTAAAAATATAAGCCACGTAGGGTTGAAGCACATGAATCGCGCTGAGGAATCCAAATACCCAGGTGATTCCAAGCAAGAACAGTAACATTGCCGACCCCTTCAGCCATCCCAGGACCTTGGCGGCCAAGCTTCGGTCGCGGTTTCGGACGGCGAGGACTGTTCGCAAGGCCAACACCAACACTCCGCTGTTGAATAGGACAATTAGGCCAATGGGTCCGACAAATGTCCAGATAGTGGGAGATGTAACGTCTATCCAACAGCTAAAATTTATAGTTATATATTTGAGTCCATAAACATGATTTGACATACAGTGGCGTACCCGATCCAGTGGCCAAAAAGGTTCCATTTTTGCAGCCGGGAAGTATCAAAAATGTGGCAAAATACCTCCCTCTCCAAGTGAAAAGACTCCGACTTCAAAAGGGTGCCCTTCAAATTGGAGTTTTTTGACTTGGAGAGGGAGGCATTTTGCCACATTTTTTGACATTTCCTGGATGCAAAATGGTACGTTTTTTTTCCAGTAGATCAGGTCTGTCACTGTACATTCTACGTCAATTTTACATATACGTGCCGGTAAGATTTATCCAAGAAATAAAAGAATACTTACTAATTAGCAGTCCCATAATTCTCTGCTGCCACCAGCACCGACAGTAGCACAATGATTGCGGGAATTAAATATCCGCAGCAATAATACCAAAGTGTTCTTGATCGAGCGTCAAAAACCTGAGAGATACCCTTCAAAAAATTGTCTTCTATTAGCTCACCTTGATCAGCATCAAATACAGCTGGTAGCCCTCCAACAACATCCATGCAAACGCGCATAAGAAGAAGTAGTGGAGCGCTATAGCCACGCCACTACAGAGAATCGCAGGCTCCGTTTCTTCGATGCCAAAGAGGAAGAAAATCTCGGCCATCAGAAGCGATAGACAGAGATTTCGATGAATCGTTGTTCGACTATTATACAGCGACCGGAAGATGGTGAAAATTAGGATGCAAAAAGTCAGAGAGATTATCGATAAAGCACAGCCAATGATCGTCAACCAATCCAAGGTTTCATCGACGAATTTGGCGGGCAAATAACCGTCTTCTCTACCTCGGAGCTCGCCCAATGAATTTGTAAAGTCCATCAGAATTGCAAAGGAAGTTAGATGCGAGCAAGTGCATTTAGTGTACTCATCGTTGGTAAAGGACATCTCGCATCCTTTATCGTCCCACGAGGAGGTGGTGAGGTTCCAGAAAACACATTTGGGGTTTTTTACGCCGTCCTGAAATTGAAAAGTAAAGTACAGTGGGGGACCTGATCCAGTGGCAAAAAACGTACGATTTTGAATCCGGAAAGTATCAAAAATTTGGCAAAATGCTTCCCTCTTGAAGTGAAAAAAACCCTGATTTCAAAAGCGCGCCCGCTCTTTTTGTGAGGAACCCTTCAAACCGCGGTTTTTTCACTCGAGAGGGAAGCATTTTGCCACATTTTTGATACTTCCTGGATGCAAAATGGTACGTTTTTGCCACTGGATCAGGTCCCCACTGAATAACATGTTCATAATATATTATTTTCAGAAATTTGGTAGGTTTTGCAACGACAACTCCAAGTCTTGGCATTCTGCATCAATATCTCAATGATTTGTATGCTGCTCAAAATTAATGGCAGACTACAAGATCTAAGTAAAATACGAAGCAAAAAAACAATTGTTTGCCTACCTTCACCAAATGGTAAAATGTAAAGCTGACATGATCATTCATCAAGTCCACAGAAATTGCGGGATCATTCACAAAAGCCCCCATGATGTAACTGTTGACTCTTCGCTTCGAAGTCGTCGATGACATTAAATTCCCAAGATTCGAAAACATAAAGTGACCAACTTTGAGTGTGTTATCAGCCGACGGCGGATTTGGCGATGGATTCAACGTTCTCATCCGTGGAATGAGTCCTCCAGACATTTGCTTGGACTCGTGGCTCCATTTAACAGCAAAGCTAAGCAAGTCGCTGCTGGGCATTTCCATTGAGGCCGCTTTTTGAAAGCCGTCGAAAGAGACTGTTTCGGGCTCCGGCACGTCTTGAGCAATCCTTATGGACGGGGTACCAGGAGCATATTGAACTTCAGGTTTCACCTCGAGCTTGGACGCTGAAATTGAGGTTCAGACGGACATATGAGGAAAATCCGAGAGTTTATTTTGGACCACAAGATGCAAATACAGTGGCGGACCTGATCCATTGACCAAAATGACCATTTTGCATCCGGGAAGTGTCAAAAACGCAGCAAAATCCGTGTATTTATGGGAAAAGAAAAAGAAGTTGGTTGGCAATCACACACAAGGCTTGAGAATTGTGAAAAAAAGAATTTCGCGCGGTGACACCTGATTCAGTGGCAAAAAACGCATCATTTTGCATCCGGGGGTATCAAAAAACGTAGCAAAATACATCCCTCTCTAAGTGAAAAAACTCCGATTTCAGAAGCACTGTTGTTGTGAAAGAAAGGGCGCTCAGTTCAAAACGGAGTTTTTTTAGTTGGAGAGGGAGGCATTTTGCCACATTTTTTATACTTCCCGGACGCAAAATGATACGCTTTTTGCCACTGGTTCATGTCTCTAACAATTGTCATAAGTGGACTAACTTTATTAATAGTTACAAGCCAAACCCACCAAAATGGGAAAATTTGAAATCCTCCGACCCATTTGCCATCCCATGGGATTGTAAGACAAGGACGTTTTGCAACATTTGCATCAACCTGGCTGCTCTGGCCACACGGTGATCATCCGTCATGTTGTACCAGGCCTTCTCCGCTCTCTTATCCATCAAATAATCCCCGGTGTTTCCAATAGACTAGAAAGAAAATATAAAAAAGCTATCAAAACACTGACTCTATCAGATCTAAACAAATTCACTAATATTAACCTTACTTTTGCAAACTTCTTGCTGTATATTTTCTTTTTCTTCGCGTCTGCCTCTTTGTCAAGTCGCTGCAATGCCATTGCCATCATGGAATCACCGGATTCGAGGAATCCGAAGATATCGCCGCTGGTCAGTTTGCTGTTTCCCATCAGATTGTAGATCACATGTTCGTATTTGCCGACAGTTATGAATGGGTCGTCAGTGCGTACCAAATCCTTTAGCGCCGAAAGCGAGGGGCTCATGCATCGAGAATGGTCCTCGAGCCCTGTCCAATCAGCGCGAGCGCAATCACAGGTGAGAATGATTTTGCCTAGAAATAAATGAATAATAAACCTAATTTCGCAGGACAAAAATGGGGAGGTATTCTGCCACATTTTTTGATACTTCCCGAATGCAAAATGGTAAGCTTTTGCCACTGGACTAGGTCCGCCACTGCAGCCATAAGTTCAGTACCTGACAATCCTTGAGGACATTCCGCCTCAAAGTCGTAGCATGCTTTAGTCTCCGGGATTTTTTGGCCAAGGAATTTGAAGCCCTTGCAGAATCGTGGGTTCTCTTTGCTGAAAAGACAATTTTTGATGTTAAAAGTGTACATCGCTTGACACTAGTCCATTCTCACAGTCGCTGGAGTGATTTTCTGAACATTCAGTGTGCGAAAACAAAATTTCATCTAGCACTGTGCAGTTTCTCGCTTTTTGCACCGTGCGATACGCTTTTCGGACTTTCGCTCGCACCTTGACTTTTTTCGCACAATGCAAACGCCAAAAAATCAGTCCAGCGGCTTACGAGCGGACTGGCAGTCCATTCGCAAAGCCGCTGGAGTGATCTTTGGCGTTAGCACTGTGCGGAAAAAGTCAGGGTGCGAGAGACAGCCGGAAAAACCATATTGCACGGTGCGAAATGCAAGAAACTGCATAATGCAAGGTGAACCTTTGTTTTCGTACTGTGCGTGTCGCTCTTTTTCAGTCCTGCTACACACTTTGCGAACGGACTATTAAAAATTATTTTTTATTAAAAAAAATTTGTAATTTTCTTACTCTTTTTCGCCAGATTTCTCCTTCTTATCTTCCTCAATGTACTTTCTGAAAAGTTTGAAAAATTATGATTACTTTGACTAATCAATGCCAGTGGACAGAAAATTTATCACCCCTTCCTTACTCTTGACTTCCTCCTCTTCCGTTTTCCTCTCTATCTCCTCTTCTACCTCTTTGACATATTGTTGAATTAATCAGTACTAGTAGGACTATGAGAAATGGTAGCCTCATCTTGAATTAAGTTAGTCAGAATGATGAATCACGTCAGACATTACGTAACACGACAACGCGATTCCTAATCGCCAAGAAAGGAGATCGCAGTAAGAGATATTCTTTTTATCGTTGAATGCTTTACGTAGAAGGCGCAACGACTTTAGGAGAGTGATCCGATTAAGTGAGGCTAATCGCGGTTGGGATTTTCGTCGCTTTTTTTTGGAATTTTTTAGGGAAAGGTGGGTGAAAACAGAAATTCTGAGGGAAAAAATCGTTCAGACTGGAATTAGGCATGGCTGTCCTTGTTCAAATTCTCTTTGGCCAGGCCAGATTTAATTCTGGCATGGGCGCTAAAGCTTTATAATATAACAATAAGTAGTGTATTGACAAAGCTTTCCTTCTGTTACAAGGCAAGAAAATTAGCGGCAAAAATGGAGACTGTATTTTATATTATTGCTTTAAAAGTTCTGTTTGGCGAACAGCAGAAAAACATCACGCTTTTCACACCGTATATAAATACAAGAAAAGAAGTTAGTTCTCTCCTCGAAAATCACTGTTATGTGACCTCAAAAGGCAAGTAGAACTCATGTCAACCTTTAGAAAAAAGCCACAAGATATAACTGCAGTCAATCGATTAACCTCAAGAAGTCCTATTAGGTTGAGTCAAAATTATCCGGCGGTTTTATTGGCGCGTTTTTTGTAAGTTAAAATTTATGTTTTGTTAATGTTTTTTTTATAAAAATAATCTTCTCTGGTTGGTTAATAAAATGGCAGTCGAAACCCATACTCATATTTGCCACATTATGCTCTACCACTTCGAGAAAAGTTGGAAGTCAGCACGGTCATTCCGCGATCTCAACGAACTTTTCGGCGAAGGAACAAAAAATAGACACGATTTCCCAGTGGATGATTCCGCTTCTGTCCCACCACACATACCACGTAGCCTTCTTACAGTGGACGTCTTTTGGTACTCCTTTGGACGAAACACCTGCCGATTTTTTTCCTTCCTTCGCCGAAAAGTTCGTTGAGATCGCGAAATGACTGTGCCGACTTCCAACTTTTCTCGAAATGGTAGAGCATAATACGGCGGATAAGAGTATGGTTTTCGAAACACATTTTATTAACTAACAAGGGAAGTACTTGAAGTGTGACGCTCAGATTTTCTTTAAATTTTGCACACACATCGGGTATGGACTATATATCAATTCCTGAAAGTTTTAGCTCGCGCTTTGCGGGCGCCGCCGAGATATCGAACGATTTTTGCCGCCGAGAGAGCACGCTCAACGTGGAGAGCGGTCAGAGAGAAAACCGTTTTTTGGCCATAACTTTGGCAGTTTCGTGCGGAAAAATTTGATTTTTTGTGGAAACATTACACTTTACAGTTGAAATAGGCATGAAACTTTTCGTGCTGAAATTCGGCAAAAAGTCCTAAATTTTCGCCGACTTTCGATCTAAAAATCTCGGTTGTTTCTGCAAAGCGCGAGATAGGATTCTCGCATATATCTTAGAAAAAATTATTCTAAATTTATGCCAAGTTTCATCAAAATCTGAGCGTCACACTTGGAGTACTTCCCCTGTAAATAGTAAAGATAATTTTTATTAAAAAAACATTAACAAAACGCAAATTTTAACTTACACAAAACGCGCCAATAAAACCGCCGGATAATTTTGACTCAACCTAATATTTCCCTTTTACAGTAATCCCAAATCATGTATTTCTATGACAACACCTATATATAGGTATGACAAGACCTAAATTTACCTAACAAATAGTGCCTCAGCGTGAGTTGCAGCGAGGGCTTGACAAATATTTTGCCGGCGTGTGTTGACCTTGCCCAATTTTAATCTTTTTAAAAAATAGTTGCGCGCTGGAATGGGAGAGAAAAGAAAGTGTCTCGTCGTTTGTTCTGCGATGACTCAGTGAGCAAATTTCCCACTTTGTAATCACGTACCTCAATTTTCGAATCAAGAAAATCGAAGTTCGAGGTTTTGGTTAGGTCAACATTAATGACGAGTAAATCCTTTCGACTTTTAAAGAATGAGTAACTGGAAAGACAAACTATAATTAAATCGAACAATTTTGAAGGTGGAAAATATGATTTCTGACGAATTCTGACGACAACAAGATACTGATTGGAACAATTACTATTGAAAAAAATCAAGTGACACCTAGACCTGTCTAACATGGATATGAGAGACATTATTAGCTCAAAGTTTGCAGAAATTGGCAAGGTTTTTAGTCCGTCACTGTAGACTAAAAACCTTGTCAATTTTGGACCTGATCCAGTGGAAAAAGACGTAACATTTTGCATCCGGGAAGCATCAAAAATGTGGCAAAATGCTTCTATCTCCAAATGAAAAAAAATCGTTTTGAAGGGCCCTCACAAAAAGAATGGGCGCGCTTTTGAAATCGGAGTTTTTTTTCACTTGGAGAGGGAAGCATTTTGCCACATTTTTGATAGTTCCCGGATGCAAATGGTACTTTTTTTGCCACTGGATCAGGTCCCCCACTATAAATTAATTTTTATTGTAACTCTGCGCTACGAAATATAAATCTTCTATACTTGGAATAGGGCGAACATTCTTTTTCTCAAAGTCGGCAAATCTTCTTGAGCTGAGCTTGCAAATTGTAAGCTAACATTTTCAACCAATGGTTACGATAGATACAGGTTATTCAAGATAAGTTTTGAGAAATCCTCTGGCTCTTGGAAGTGACAAAAAAAATTTATGTCTGCTTGAAAAGATCCAGCGACATTTTGGGAGCTGAATACAAAATACTAACGTCCCACTACCATAAAGACCTTTTAAAACCTCCAACTAAAAATCCGCACTTCCACCACCGCCGTCCCCGCCGCATACGATAATATAATATTTCCCTTTCAGCAATCTGAAAATATCATCTGACCGGCTACAGCGCGGCCTTTAAACAGCTCTCCTGCTCTCTCCTATATTTGCGTAAAAATTAAACCGGATGTAGCATCCGAGCCCCGAGGATAAATGCGTGGTAAAAGCTGTAATAGGCAAACATAATAGCGGCCTGTTGCGTAATCCACATTATTTCGGATCTTTTTTGTGGACAAACAGCGGAGGTTGGAGATGAGCAGGGGTCGGAAGGGGATTGAAATTTTCTGTGCGGCCTTGCAGCATAATGAAAAATTGCGAGATTCCTTACCTCTGCTTCAATTTGTCAACCAAAACCCTGTCGGCAATGCCATTCGGAACGAACTCGCAGATCCAGCCCAACATCGCAAAACAGGGTACCTGGCCGACGTTTGGACTCCACCATGAAGCGGTAAGGCACTCGGACTTCCTTGGGCCAAAGTGATTTGTCTTTTCGGAGCTATTGTGAATCCAATATTCCGAGGAGGGTAGAGGCGTGATCCCTTTGAGGATCGAGGTAAAATCAATTGAGGGATCGAAATACGCGAGGTCCCCACCCTGAAATTGAATAAATAAGTCTTGTGAGGGACCTGATCCAGTGGCAAAAAGAGAGTTTTTCACTTGGAGAGGGATGCATTTTGCCACATTTTTGATACTTCCCGGATGCAAAATGGTACGTTTTTTGCCACTGGATCAGGTCCCCCACTGTAGGCTTCATGCGCCGTAAAAAACTTCATCCTAAATCACTTACTTTCTGTGTGCATTCCGCTCTGGCATCCGCATAAGTTTTTTTCTCCTTGTTATCAGAGATCGAAATGCATCGATCTCCCAGAATCTTCATACCATGCGGACAAGCCAGCTCTTTCTCTAAATTTGGATAAAATCAAAGAAGAGGACTTACTCTCCACGCATCTGACTCGATACTTTAGTCTGGCTCCATTAGAACATGTCGGGTTTTCAAAAAATTTCGCCAAGTCTTCGATGACACATTTTTGGCGGTATTGACATCTAAAGATCGTAGGAAAATCATAAATAAAATGGCTTACCTCTGCGCCAATTTCAGCAATCCGGCGGACTCAATGCAGTCGTGGTCCAGATTCGACGTCAGCGGACATAACCCATCGTACTTCAGGAGCTGAAGGAAAAATAAACCTGTTTTAAAAACGAGAATCCGTCTCTTCCAAGCCATTAGAAGAAAACTCCAAGCATTAGGGGAAAGCTGTTAATAGAGGACAGAGCGTAATTATGGCCTACCGGAGAGTAGCCGTAGATGGCGTAATCTATCATTAACACCTCATTTTCTTGACAGCTCTCTTCGAATCGCCGAATCCCACAAAGCTCTTTATCACTGGAGTTCTCGGTTTTTTCCGCGGCCAATTTGATCTCGCATTGTCGACCGCCATAGCCCGAGGGACAGGAGCATTGAGCAATCCAGTCGTCAGCACCTTTGAAGCGAGAAATATTTGATTCACAGACGAAACCGTGCGACTCATCGCAAAATTCAGTCAAAATTTTGGGCTGACCATGATTGTGATAGAGAACACCACAGTGAGTACCTGGAAGCATTTGAATGATTAACGAAATTTACAAAATCAAGGGTTCTTCAGCGCGAAAAATCATTTTTAGTTCAAAATTCGGCCAAGTGCGCAACAAAGATACCTAAAATCAGATGCCAAAATGATCGAATATTACTCACCCGATTTCTCAGCTGTCCCGTCCTCCACATCCATCGTGGTCACTCCTCCACCTGGATGCCATCGCGCTTTTGATTGACCATCCCGTTGCAGCCCAATCCAGGCAGATTTCCCAATCCATTCCTCCACAAACGCCCTTTTCTCTTTGCTCTCTAGCCACACTAGATGGCCATCGTATCTCGTCCGACAAAAATTGTAGGCATCGTTAAAAGTCTTCTTAATCGGTGAGTAATGAAGGCAGCTCTCGTCGACTTCTGAATAACGGCCATCTGGGCATTTCGCAGAGCTTTGACGGGCTGAAAATGAATGAGATTATAGCTGAAAGGCGAAAGCCTCAAATTGTAAAATCAACTGATCGAAATGGCTTCTCGTCCAAGAATTTATTGAAAAACAACTAAAAATATTGCTTCAATTTCTAAGGAAAATCAAAAAAAATTCAGGTCGATCAAGAAATCGACCAAAAATATTTTTAGATTGTTCCATGGCACCCTGAAATTCCTTCTAGCTAAAACATAGATCACTCGCCCTCTTTATCGACTAAAATCAAACTTTTTTGTGGGTTTTTGGGCGAAAAATATTTCCTCGAAATTATTTGTCAAATGTGACATTTCGCTTGGACGAAACTCCAAAGTGGGCGTGAGACGTTTCTTTCAATTTTGGGTTGCCCTGCCTCTCAAAGTGACAGCACAAATGAAAAAAGGTGAAAATACAGACTGCAAAAAAGCGATTAAGATTATTTCTTACCTGCGGTCAGAAAACATTCTCCTCCGTGCTGGCATAGATCTTTATCCTCGCATCGTCTGACCAAATCCGAATATGCCAAGTGTAAAAACAACGTCAAACGCAGCACAACGCGCATTTCGGAGGCACTTTCTCATTCAGAAATGAGTCAATTTCATTCTCTGAAATAAGATGAGATCGAAATTCTTCCTCTCCTTTGGCCTTCTCATCCCGTTAATTTCAAGTGAATTAATAAACAATGAAAAACGAGGTGATTAATACAAGTTTGAGCGTTTTGTAAACAACCGGGACAATGCGGGGATCGGATATCGGGTTGTGGATTATTATTTGTTTGTATTGGCAAAATTGCGAAATTCGGGGGCTGAAAACACCAATTCTCAAGTCGTAGTTTACAGTACTAGTGCTCAGGAGAAGATACGTGCATTTTGTAAAATAAATGAAGCCGAAAACGGTCCTTATAAAGCATTCAACATCAGATAACATTGCAATTTCCGGAGTTCGAAATGAAATGGCACATTTTTAGACGCAACATAGAGTCCAAAAGATACGATACTCTATAATATACTTCAACAAGCTCTATAAATATCATAAATTTTGCTTTGTCAAAGATATCTAGGCCAACAAAAAGCTTGTAAAATCGCTAATTTAATACCGGTGAAGCCTTCAGGACATGGCCTTCTCGACCAAAAAACCGCTGTTTTTTAATAGAATGCCTTTACTTCTCGGGTTGAAAAGCCACATCCGAGAAATTTTGGTCTAATTCTGTTGATCAGATACCCATCGTTTTTCTAATGAATTTCATAGTATTGTTGATGACATCTTTTTTAAAAAAGGCCGTTTAAAAACGGCCTTTTACGAAATTTATAGGGACGGACAGACGAACCGTTATAGTACTCTTTTAACTCGGTGCTAAAAAAAGCTGAATTTAGAAGCGAATACAAAGCCAGAGCATTCGAACAAATTAAAATTATAATAAGGGCAACATAGAAGATTGTAGCAGTAATATAATACGTACAATATAACAAAAAAAAAACAAAGTTGAAGGCTAACTTTTGTACGACAAAATGTATGGTACATACATTATTTGTAGTCTGCACCATAGAAATCGAAAATTTTCTGGGAAACTAGTTAATTCGATTATAATAAACATGCTTTCCAAAAAAAGGACTTTGCATTTTCTGTTAATCAAAAATCTCGAACTCCGCTTAGCAACTACATGTACACATTGTAATCACCAGGCGCAATAAAAAAGATTGCATTTAGCCGACGACATACGAAAGAAACACGTAAACCTCTTTTTTAGACGCTAGAGCTTTCTAATATCTCGCCAAGGTCAAGTAATTGGGAGCGGGTCATTTGCGTGTCATCGTGCAAAAAAAGTTTGGTCTTTAAACACAATTGGCATATCAGAAAGTCCAGACAGTTACGTTGTTAAGCTCACACAACAATGTTGATAAGTATGTAACCGTAACGCTGTAATGAACGCTTTTACGGGCAGGTAATCGGTCATCATCAAACATCATATATACATGTATAAAAATGTGTATACATACATGCATAAGTACAATCACAATACGCACGCATATGTATGTATATTTGTAAAACATATAGAAGAAAAGGTACCGTAACTTGCTCGCCCCTTTCCATCGCTTCCACGATCACCGACCCAAAAAAGTCATCAAGGCTTTTTTATCACTTTTTCGATGCGCTTCGAGGGCACGCGTATGACGTCATCACATGACAATTAATGACTATATGGAATTTCGGGTCGGAAAAGGAAGTGCTCACAATCTTAATGATCTTAGCGCAAACTTTGAGAATTTTTTTTCTACTGCAATAATCTTAGTCTGTGTTAAACATAAACGAGATTCCTGACTTGAGAATTGTGCAAATTTCAACCTCTAAAGATTTTATACCTTTTTAAACTCAGCAAACTTAAAAAAAAACAACTTTCTGCCGCAATGTGAAGATAATCGACAAAACCGCTTTTCGCGAACTTTCTCGTTGACAAAGACCATTGACGATCTCGAGTAACATTACAAGCCTTAAGCCAAAATTTTGAGAGCGCGATAGGCAAGGCAAGTTGTGTATGCAAAGTGTAGATAAAATCTAAATGACATTCCAAACATCCAACAACTTGCTTATTATTGAACCCTTATGCCAAAGGGTTCACGGAACTGAACATTTTTTGCTCGAAAAAGGAGGATCACTCTTTTCCGTTCATTAAATGAAGCAAGCCTTATTCGAAGCGGTCAGAACAGATTTATCTTTTCCTCGAAATCCACTCGTTTTAATTAAAACAAATCCTTCTGCATGAAGAGAAACAAAAACAACACCGTTTTTGTTTTCTTCAGGCCCCTTTTCATTCCGACTGTATGGCATTATTATATGTATTAAGTGGCATTACACGTGAGATGCTCACAGTAGCTGCGCATGTCCTCGAGGCAAATACGTGCGCCCAAATTGTGGGATACAAAAGTTGACAAAGGTCGCCGTTCTTTGAGGGTTTATGGGAGGCGCTGTTCATATGTAAAATAACATATATAATAGTACAAGCTACCATTTCTTGGAATCCGCACGGTAGATTTGCAATTAACAGAGCGGATGGAACAAATTTTGATAAAAGGAAGTTTTTTTGAATTCAACCAGGAAAAAGCGAAACAAAGGAAATAATAAAATCCTACACTGGGCTTGTTGAAGTTCAAGGAGTTCACTATGGGAAGCTAGCGTTCTTAAAAGGTTAGGAAAAGGTTAAGTGTAAAGTTTTAGAGAAAGTTCTACATGTCTCGTTGTATGACAGTACAATTTCTCTTGGCCTCGGTATTTGGCGTGGCTGTAAGTTAGGGGAGCCAGAAATCAAACTCCAAAAAGTTATATCTTTCTCAAAAATTGTCAGCGATGGCTTAAACAGGGCTATTCTAACTGTAGATAGTACATATAGAATATTGAAGTTGTTTGCAGTCAATTCGGTTTTAAATTTGAACCGTAATTTAAAGTTCTTTGCATCACGTCACAGTTTTGTTTTTGCCAGTGCTGTCTTAATATGTATGGGAGAAACTACGGCATTGGAAGTACTTTTAGGACTCTCTGTAAACTTGCGATGGTCTTGGAAGTTTGAAAAAAAAACAGCTGTTTTATCAAGACGCCTAAAAAACAGTTATGTCAGCAATATGGCATTTCAAGGAAGATATGGTAACTATGACTGTTTGGAAAGACCTTTCAGCTCTCAAATATTTGCATAGCCCCGAAACCAGACAATTTAACAATTTTTGGTCCAAGAATAGAACACAAGTCTCTTGTGTTCATAAAAAGGCATAAGTGTCAAAATTTGTTAAGCGTGAAATTCGAACCGACCTCCTGCGAAGCGGATATTAAGTGGCCAAATTTAAAATGAATCAAAACGCGAATAGCCGCCTGCCCATATACTGAGGTTTGTCAGGGATTTGATGAGGAAAACGGGAAACGCCGGAAATATCCGGGCGGTATCCATCAAGTAATAAATACTTTTGAGAGCTCGTTGTCTGAGTAATTCCGAGAAATTATTTGGGGTTATCGGAAATTTTTGTTGGATTACTGTACACGTCGAAGCAAGTAAAAGAGAAATCAAGCAAAGTTTTATTTATAAATGATGATAATTGTTGACTTGGAACAAAGAATTTGAAACGGAATTTTCTAGAACAGGATGAATTTACACTTTGAAACAAGACAATGCGACCACTGCGTGTAAAGTGCGTAAAAGTTGCGAGTTTCGTTACTATGCTTTGTTGTTACAACCCAAACAAAATTTAGTCATCTACAAAAAGTTTATTGTAATTTTATTCTTTTATCTGCACGTTCTTTTACCATATGTCTTTGCCCACAGAAAATATGAAGTGAAACCTAGGAGTACCACAAATATAGTCGCATTCTCACAACTGGTATATCTTCAGTCAAGTCAAAAAAAGTAACCTCGTCGCTACTCATATTTTTTCAAAATAAACTTCATTATACGGGCAGATGAACCTCTTCTACACGTGCTTAAAAAATGCACGTGTAGAACTACCACGCCTACAGAGCTTTCTGCACTCGTTGAGCCTTTAAAATGACGTTTTTAGTTGTCGACCGCACTTTAAGAAACGGTTATTCCAAGCTTGGAGAGCCCTGGCTACACGAAAATTCAGACTGGCAAATTCCCGTTAAACTTAGAAAACTGTAGCTACATACATTCTAGAACATTTCCCCATTAACCTTTTTTTCAAAACCTCACTGTAATTTAAACCCGTTGAAATTTTTGTTGTTGACCTGACTTTTGGAAAAATTGAGTTTTAAGCGGATATGGAGTGGAAAAACAAGACATAAAATGGAATGGCGATATTTATGGAAAACGTGCATTCCTTGACCGGCTCATCTAAAGTTCATTGCTCTGACCCTCCAAGTTATGGATTGTTTTGTTTTCAAAAACCTTAAATGTTTGACTTACACTGGCCAAAGCTTGAATTCAGATTTTCGAGTTTTTGCAGGACTATCGTTGTTTTTAAGAAGTGTATGTATTGAAAAAATAATTTACGGCAAAGACCTTCAGACAATGGAAAGGAAAGCTATTAAACTTTGGTGTCAAAGTCTGCGCGCTGCTATTAAATTCTGGGCTTTGATAGGGGAACGAAATGTCGTGAAATTCCCTTCATCTTGCCCCTTGTACCATGAGAAAAGTGCCACCAATTTGGAAATATTAAGGCGTTTAAATAGGTTACACTCAGGCTGCCCTAATCGACGTGTTTTGCTGTCTCTGGGACAACTTATTGGGTAAAACTCTCAGCTCAAAGTACCAACAGCTAAAGATCTCGCAAAAATTACTCTGTCGAAGCATCATTAAAATCTGAACACGCATAGAAAATATGCATACATTAAGCGCGCTTCTGCAAACCTCCGTGATACATCTTCTTCCTTATAACCAGGAAGACCCAAAAACTGTCCATCAAGTTTGAATTAATTCGACCTTTTATTGAAAGCCTCAAGCTCCATTACTTTAAAAGGCGGTAGCAATTAGTAGAGCGCTCCCAGAATTTCAATGAACAAAAGATAAATTCGGAAATTTGGGACCATTTTACTTGTAAGGAGTAAATTACGGTTACTATCATAATCTTCTACCCTAACCCGCTAACAATATCATCAATGGTCGTTCGATGAGCCTAGAAAACTGAAAAGAACAAGTCCGAGCCTGTCGAACAGCTTTGTACTCTGTAAATATGAATGTAAACGCCTCCAGGGATCCGAAAAAACCATGTTTCTTCTAGAGTGTGTTGGGAATCGTGGAGATCTTGATAAGGCTTATGAAAAATGGTGCTCACACGACTAAAGTACACATATTAAAAACAAAACTTATTGAAAACTCTAAGCAAAAATCTATGCTAATGTAGACGTTAACTGCCTACTAAAGGTTCTAGGGAACGTCGTCATTTGGGGAAACTGAAAAATATTTTTTGATTTCGATTTTTTTTTCATTTTATTTTTTTACGATTTTTATTATTATTTTTGTTGTATCTTGTAACGATTTTCGAAATTAGCAACATCGAAAAACTAAGAGCACCTGTGAAACAAAGCAAAAAAATTACTGCTTTACAGTACTGTTTAAGAAAAAAAAATCACTATCAGAAAAAACGAATGTGATTTTTAAAATCAACGCCATCAATTTTCAGCGCCTTATTTCGGCACATACACTGTACATGGAAGAAAAATAATATTTTTCAGTTTCCCCAATTGTCAACATCCTCAATTGTCCTTTTCCGCAATTCTCGCTAGTAGTTTAAAGGTTTTAGGCTATAAGGAAGGACTTGTAAACGACTAAACTGCCGTTTTTTAAAAACGATCGTTTGCTTGTTTACAAATCTTTCCGCGTAATCAAACCAACGCACTTGAACTTTAGCTCATTTGCAAGTGAAGTTTGTTCGGTTTGCAAAAGATACACTTTCCAGTTGCTCGGGCTGGTATAGGGAAGGTTCAGGAAGAGTTTCGGAAATCTCACGAGGGAATGGTCTGAACTTCCCCCAGCGTTTGGGAAAATGACTAGTACAGGTGGATAGAGCAGGTCAACTTTGGTAAAAAGAGCCATTTTCCAGCTGCGGAATAAGCCCGGCCGACGAGAAAAATCGACCGAAAGTTCCACAAAAATTTCTCTTTCTCTTCCCTCGGAAAAGAAGAGCGGTGTCCAGTGGTTCGGTTAGCCAAGGGGATAAAGCATCCGCTCGATATTCTTTTGGGGGTTGGTTCGATTCCGGGGCCTCGCGAAGGACCGTGTTAAGGCCTTGATGAGCAAGATCAAACTGTAACAACCCAAAAAAACATTTTGCCATTTTCATACGTTTTATAGATGCATTATACCAAAACAATAATTGTCAAAAAATTGAACTTTTTGGGTGCTTCCAAACCTTCAAAGCGATGGAACTTCGAAGTTATGGTGATAGAAAAGGTTATGTCTATATTTTTGAAACGATCTGTACCCCACTTCGTTATTATTTAAAAAATTTTACATAACCTATAAAACGTATAAAAAGGAAAAAATTTTTTGGATTGTTAGAGTTTGATCTTGCTCATCAAAGCCTTATCACGGTCCTTCGCGAGGCCCCGGAGTCGAACCAACCCCCAAAAGAATATCGAGCGGATGCTTTATCCCCTTGGCTAACCGAACCACTGGACACCGCTCTTCTTTTCCGAGGGAAGAGAAAGAGAAATTTTTGTGGAACTTTCGGTCGATTTTTCTCGTCGGCCGGGCTTATTCCGCAGCTGGAAAATGGCTCTTTTTACCAAAGTTGACCTGCTCTATCCACCTGTACTAGTCATTTTCCCAAACGCTGGGGGAAGTTCAGACCATTCCCTAGTCAGAATGGCTTGAGAAACTTATCATTTTTTATAGAACCCGGTCGAGCCATATCCCTTATGAATTCATGCTTACCACCCCACAATATACCACCCCGACCGACAATTCCACGCCATTGTGGAAATGGACGGTATCTTAATTGGACGCGTAACTCGTTGGTTAACATCATCAATGCATGTTGCAGTGGATCCAGTGGCAAACAAGTACCATCTTGCATCCGGGAAATATCAAAAACTCAAGCAAAATACCTCAAAACGGAGATTTTTTTGCTAGAGAGGGAGGCATTTTGCAGCCTTTTTTGATACTTCCTGGATGTAAAATGGTACGTTTTTTGCCGCCGGATAAGGTGTAATCGAGTGGCTAACAACATCTGTGGTGCCCGAGAACATGCATATATAATATGTATATGCAAAGAAAAATATGTTCGAAATCTGATATGTCTGGCCGACAAGCTAAAGTGTATTATTTTTAAAATTTTTTATAAATTTTGTCTCCAGGAACAATTTCATTACTTTATTGAAACCACATGGATATAAATAGAAAAAATCTTTTTCAAACATCACGACATATTATTATACTTTAATATATGGCATCTACATAGCTTAAAAAATATTGGACCGGGTCATAACATCGTCACAGGACAACCTAGGGTCGTTGAATTCGTTGATGAAAGGGACATTCTCATTGTTCCTATAGTTGACCTTGTTCCCTAATTGTCTTGCCAACGCCGCCAGGTTCTCACGGAAGATTTTCTTTTTCATCGTGGAGTCGATCGGAGTGATAACCAGTGGTCTGGCACTTCGGGTTGAGGCAACTGTAGCCGGCAAGATCTGGGGACGAGGGCGGACTTCAACGGCGGCTGGTCGGCTAACGGTGGGTGCGACGTTGGGAATAGGAGGCGAGATAAGCGGTGGATGATTACTATTACCCGCGTATTGGGTTGACTCGTTGGGGAGAGTGGTAGGTGTGGTTGTTGCTTCAGTCTTCAGAATCTCAACAGAGGGGCGTGAAATCTCGGAGGCCGTGCGCCTTTGCCGAGGCTCATCGGACTCGGAATGTCGGCGAATTAGAGAAGTGGGACGCCAGCGGATCCTGCAAGCGGGAAAAATCTTTTGATGATGAATAAAATAATTAAATTATGAATTTCAAAGATAGTAAGGAGTAGGGTACCCAAGCCCATTTTTCACCCAAAAACTGCCACAAAACTTTTTATGGAGTATCAAAAAAGAATTCAATATTCCAACACTTGACAAGTGTACAATATAGCAAATAACACTTACATCTAACCTACATTTGGGTTACCATAGAATTAATTAGCGAATTGAGGAAAAATGAGATGTTGAGACAATAGAAAATCCTCAGTTACTGTAGCAATTTCTGCTTTTCCTGACTACAAACTCCCTCATCCGGCGTCTGAGGAATCGATTGAAGGGAGTCCGTCAGTTTCAACGTGACCGCGTCCGACCCACTATTCCGATCGAACGCGTCTTTTCCGTTCATCTTGGAGTACATCATGAATATCAACATGACCACCCCGACTGAAGGAATTGAGAAAATGTCTTGGGTTTTATACTGGCCGACCGTAATTCGGTTTCTCGGTTTACAAAAACACCCGGCTTGGGGAGTAATAAAATATTCACAGTTTTTCCGATATTGGAACGGCGAGACGAGGTTCTTTCGAGCCTTCATCGAATCACGTTGATTGAAAATGTAATTTGAAAGATTCAAAAAAGCGGTTCGAACACAGCGAGAGCGCTGAAAAAATAAATTTCTCGCTGTCCCAAATTCTGGTCAGAGCTTGGTCATGGCCTAGGTCGCGAGCTTGATGACGACCAGAGATTGTCACTGCTCCGGAGCCGGTTGATTGCTCTGGCTTTGAGCGGCTTTGACTCCGAGCCGGGAGTTAGAGCCGGAGCCGGAATTCTTGGGTGTGGTTCCGGCTCCCGAGCGGTGATGGAGCCGGAGACCTTTTTAAATTTTGGACGAGAGGGACCATAGTCAAGAAATGAGACAGTGTTTCGGTAAATTTGGGCAACCACTTTGACGTTGATCACTACCTAGGTCGCGAGCTTCGCGATGAGCAACCTATCCTACGGTGTGAATGAACGCAGAGTAACCCCGTTGGCTAGCTAGTCCACCAAATTGGAAACATTGGATATAAATATTGGCCTGATTCCCGATCTGCCCCAAATAAAGGGTAGCCGCCGCGAGTGTGGCAAAGAAAGGTTATGATTTCAGAATTGAAAGCTTATTGTTAGAAACAAAAAATAGAACGATTGCGCTCACTTCTTCTTAGCATTCATCTCTGGCCAGGTATTCACATGGGTCTGCAGCTCGTCCTTCAAGTGCTCCTGTGTCCTCTCAACTTCCTCGTTGTCCCAGTCTTCCAGCGCATTCACTCCCATAACTGGTTTGTGCCAGACTTTCTCACTATTCACCGACGGCTGACTTGACGACTCGGTTAGTGTCTCCGAAGACGCTAGCCAAGTCTGTTTTGGCGAAGAGAGTAGTGTAGTATTCGTGTTATTCGTGCTGTTGGAGATTGGAGACTCGGGTGACCAGCTTTCACCTAAAAGTTAGCGTCAATAAAAAATTCAGATAACTTACTGTGTGTTAAACTTTGTGATCTGCTCTTGCTTTCTGCTTCAGGCGGATTCTCCTCCAGATCTATTGAATAAACCCATGGATCGGAGATTCGTTTTTGAGGATCGGTGGGGTAAGAGTCGCTGAGATCAACTGTCTGTCGACGCATCCAAATGGGTTCTTCAGCTGAAATATAATAATATTCATAACATTATTTTTACAGCGTGTTTGAAATCGTTTCCAAGATTTTCGGAAAAAGTAACCTAGATATCAGTTTGTCGGGAAAATAACGTGAATTTGTCGCAAAAAATGTCCCGCTTCGTCGCAGTCACGCACCAAATTTCCAACCGCAGTTAGATGTCGCAAAGCGAAGATGGGCGGCTTTTGAATCCACATTATTTACCCGACAGACTGATATTAAAATTTTGATCAAAAAATGAAGGCTTCCAACCGCGAGGCTCAGATTTTCTTTTCACTTTACACACGCGTCACGCACAGCAGTCCTTGAAAAATTTTCCGCAAAATCTGCTAGCGCAATCGAGATAATCAACGATTTTTACCGCCAAGAGAGTACGAGAAACGCGGGATCACAGCGAAAACACTTTATTAATGTCGTATATGTGCCAGGTCCGTGCAAAAAAAAATTTTTTTTTGTCATTATTCTCTTCACCTCTACGGTAGAAATGGTTATAAAAATCTTCGTACCAAAGATATTGAGAAATTTTTACATTTTCGTCAACCTTCGACCCTAAAACCTCGGTGGCTCCTGCAAGGCGCGACCTGGGGGTGTGGAATGTTATATATAAGCTTAAAAAAAATAAATCTCAATCTATGTCAAGTTTCTTCAAAATCTGAGCACTGCAGTTGGAGTACCTCCCTTGCGGGTTTGTTATTACTTTAATAGAATAGATATTAGCCTTACCATTATTATTATTTGGCTTCTCCTTGCTTCTTCTCCTCTTAATAGATCGAAAATGGACTTTTTTCAATTCTCTGGCCAACTGGTCCGCATTTGACCCCATTCTGGCCGTTCTTGACGTGTTAGATCCCCTTCTGTCCACGGAATCGCGACTTAATGACCGTCTGTTGTTTATCGACTCTAACGAAACTCGGGGGTAATCATCTTCGTCTGGCTGATGAAGGACGATTTGGGGTCTATAAAGACAACAAATAACTTGGGCTTCTTTAGTTGCAAGTTTTATATCGATGTATAAAAAAAGACGTCCCATTGAAAAATCCCGTCCCAGACCTACTTTGGCAAAAGCCGATAGTCCTTGGCGGCGCTGAGACAATTGGAGGACGCTAATGAATGTCTTCGCTTATCCCTTTCCTTCCTCTCCGCCTTCCGCTGACCGCGCAGCTCATTGTTTACGTTGGACACATTGAACAGAGCGAAGTAGAAGGCCATCTGTTGCCAACTGCAAATGCCCGAGGGAGTTGCGCAATTATGTAAATTCGAACAAGTTTCGAAGTAATTGAGGGAAGAGCGGCTGTAAATTATATAGTGGGCAAGTGTTTGGGAATACTATTAGGGTGAACCAAAAGTTTTTGCCGTTTTTTCATGAAAACTTTAAACATAATTTTACAACAAATGAAAACCAGTTAAGTTTCAAAGTAAAGGCCATTTGAATCTATGGCTTGAACCCATCTATAGGCAAGTTGTTCGATCCCGCTGCGGTACCACTCCTTTTTCTTAGAAGCGAAAAACTCGCGGCATCCGTCTTCGACATCGTCCAGATCATTGAAGCTACGACCACGCAAAAAGTGTGCCATGGAGCGGAAAAGGTGATAGTCGTATGACACAATGTCCAGACTATTCGCTGGATGTGAAAGAAGTTCAATGGCGTCGAGAGTTTTGATCTTTTCCTTCGTTTGTTTGGCGGTGCGAGGTTTTGCGCTGTCTTGTTGCAGGGGTACGCGGGTTCGATTGATCAAATCGGGATATTTTTTGCCAATCGCTGCATACATTCGATTGAGTGGAGCGTAGTAGAGGTCTGCGTCGCTAGTCCGACCATTTGGAACCAACTCGAAGTGAATTACGCCTTCAAAATTGTTTTTTAAGATGTCTTGCCCTCGAGGTCCGTGTCGCCGTAGTTGAATCGTTTGAACCAATCGCGCAGTACGATCTGAGACCACATTGTAGCCTTCAACTTCGCTTATCTTCTTTACTGCTGCAGTTGCGTTGAAGCCTTGTTTTCGGTAATAACGTAAAAAAACACGAATTTCGGATTTTTCCATGTTTTTTCTACAGGTTAAAAGATTTTAAATAAAAGACCAATTAAAAGTTTCAATATATATTATGATAAAGCAGTTCACGACCTTTAAAAATATATATAACACATTCATATAAAAATATTTATTTCGTAAAAAAACAATTGGACAAAAAGAGACCTAAAAAACGGCAAAAACTTTTGGTTCACCCTAATAGTAGTGAGGAAAATGAAAAAGGAGGAGGATTAATTCGAACATGTGGGTTTGTAAACAAATTTGAAATAGGCCGGAGGTCAGCACAGTAATCAGCACAGAAAAAAAGGTGATAAATAGAACAATGTCAAAATCCGGAAAATCATGGGTTTATTTTAAAAAAACGCCTATGTGGACCTTACGTTCGAAAAAAATCCAAATTTCAACGCATCGACTTCGTTGCTTTTTCGAATTCTGAGCTCCACAGATATGTTCATTTTCCGTGATATACCGCGTAGAATTTTTGCTGAAAGATATATACGAGAACGCTTACATGGCAGAGCTCTTCGAAGATTGATTTTCTCGTTAAGAAGTGCCATTAACTATATAGACGTTGCTAGACATTGGGTTCTAATTGGTCATGAAGCACAATTTTGAGGGAATTTAGCGCTTTCAGCATTTTCCAAGGCATATACAAGAGCTCTTCAACACAGAGTGGCCTATGCCAGCTAGATAAAACTTGAGGAAAATCCGGCTGCCGCACTTTGGAGACTTCTCTTTTAGCCTTAAGATATACATAAATAACATATCGACGAGACGGTACAAAGACTATAGGCAAATTCCAAAATCAGCCCATGATATCAAACCTCTGCGTGAGCAACGGTCGACTGTTTACTTCGTCATTTTTCATCTGACAACTCTCATAAATCAAGATATTTATATTCCGCCCCCACTGACATCTCTAATTTCGCTGTCTACAGTAACATGCGCACGTGGCTATAAGAACATTCCTCCAAAAAAATGTAAAAAAACAATGCGAATCGTTGCAGCGGGATAATCAAATCCCGGCGCTTCTTCTGTTTATAAAATTATTCGGTCGAAAATCCCCCAAAAACGCTTTTAAATTGGAGAAGGCGCGGTCCCCGGGGGCAGCGTGCCGCGGAGCCCAAAAAACTTTTTCACAACACCCCGAGGCGCTATAACGCGGAAGGCTTGTTAAGGCGAAGAGGGGGCCAAATGTCAAATTTGCCGCTTCTTTTCTTCTCCGGCTTCGGCCCCGAAATATCCTAATCGCTGTTTTTTAATGCCGCATATTTTGGAGCGGGAACGGGGATATCGAAAATTGCGATCTGGATGTGGCATGGAACGGAGACAAAAACGACGAAAATGGGATTTTTAATGATTAAATAACTGTATTGTTGAAGACGAGGAGAAGAGAATTGCGCTTGTTTTGACATTATTGAAGGAATGATGCCATATTGTCTTACTGTTAGACGAAGTCATAAATAACAAATTAATTTGTGTGACAAAGTGTTAGAAATTAACCTGTTCAGCTAGAATCCAATTTGTGTAGCTCAGAAGATGCGCTGACATAAAGACTAAAGGATCAATAAAGTTACTTTTGACAGGAGTTTTTATTATGTTAAAACTGATTTGATTCCGATTTTTTCTTCCTGGAGAGCGGTCGGTTTTCCTGTCCACCCATGCCGTTGCGGGCACAAAGGGCTTTGCCTGGGACAGTAGCTCTTCATCGTAATGGATTTCAAGTTCATACTGTCAATGTTAGATCAATCCAAACCGAGGGAAAATTGAAGCAATTCAAGAAATCGTTGGAAACGGAAGTGGTCAGCATGAATTCGACATCCCCCTATACACGACCGTTTGGGCGCTTCAGGATGAGATGGATCGACGATACTGGCAAGAATCATGGCCTCCGGTGGAGCGATCTTACACTGACCGGACAATGGAAACCATTATGATACACTCCATGATTTTTTGCATGTGATTAGTGTAAATAAATTGAAAATTGAATTGAAAACTGATTTTTGTCCCTTGACACGAAACAAAGCTGGAAAAAATGCAATCAGCAAGATAATTATTAGTACACAGGTAAAATTCAACAAGATTTGATGAGAAAAAAGCCACTAAGATGCTATGAGACACGCTGTAAACTTGTAAAATTGTTTTGCTTCATATTGGCCAGTGGCGTGGTAAATGTCATGAAAAGAATTAAGCGCCACCATTCAGTCATTTTATAAAGTTTTGCATCTAAACTTCAGATACATACAAGAAGGCAACACACAAATTCAAGGCTTAGTCAGTTTGACGAAGAAATACATACCTTCAGGCCTTCTCTTAAAAACAAAAAGGAAACCCGGAAAGTAGGGATATTTTTCAACTACCGCCAAACTTCTGTACAACAAACCTCCGTGAAATACAGCCTGTATTTAATCAATAACAACAATAGCTGTTGAATAATAAATATAATATCCAAAAGTTTTGAGCAAGTGTGCAAAAAAGATCTACAATAGGACTGTTTCCTTCTACCATCATCAATGTTGCCAACAGTATAGTGCGCCTTTCTTAAAACACTCACAATTAAAACATAAAAATTTTGAAGGAAAAGGTCATAAGACCAAAAACAAAGGCATTCCGTCAAATTCGGAGTTTTACCGTGAACAAAAACACCTTCAAATCCATTTTTGGCTTTGCTTGTCTTCAGCCATTAACCCGATGGGACGCTTTTGAAGAAATTGCGTTCACGCCGCGGAACGGTCACTGCAGGAGATGGAAAGAATTGTCTAAATGTTCTAAATCTAAAGTTGATGTTATAAAAAGATAAAAGGTCAGGGGAAATTGGACCCTCTAGAGACATGAACGTTCAGGCGGATCAAGTTGAAATGATAAAATACAAAAAGAAAAAATATGAGTATAGAAATTAAGATGACGCAAAAAAAACAAAGGTGTAGCTCTTTAAAGGGCTTTTTTCACACTGGCCCAGCATTCCGAACTTTTTTCGCCGCCGATCGGTGTCGAAAAAAAATTGAAAAATCGAGAGAGGGGTATGCATTTTTTTGTGTTGCCGGCTAGCAAAGGCAGGCATTGCAAAATTAGATAAAGTGTTTGATACTCTGAAGATTACTCATTCTAATTATACAAAAATTGTCACCATGCACTTTGTAATCCCCGAAAAAATCGGATTCGAAAAAATGAAAATTTCAAATTTAAATGCAATGAAAATGCACTTTCTAGCTGACTACTGAAGAAAAAAAGATGCTGTCGTGTAGAGAATTTTGAGTGCTTTCTAATACATATATTTTTTTGCGTTGTTTTCTAACAGTTTTAGAGTTACCGTGCAAAAACCACTTTTTTTTAACTTTTTCCGACTTATCTGCACTTTAAATGCAAAAATGCAAAATCTTCCGAGCAATTATCATTCTGGGCATCCTTGTGGATATACATGCCAAATTTCAAATTTCTACGACGCTCCAGTCTCCTGTTATATCGATATAATTACGAAACCTTTTGCCTGAATGTTTCAGCGTCGTGAATATATTAAACTCTAAGAGAAGCCTGGGTCGCAAAGTGCACTTGCATTGGGGATTTTCATCCATATTTCAGCTGCATAACGCGTAAAATGTGGACAGTTGAAGCCAATGTAAGACGTTTTGAATTATGATTTTTTTCGCTTTTGGCTTGAACAGAACTTGCCTTCGATCCAGCCAAAAAACGGGAGGAAAGTTTTGACTCTGCCTTTTTAAGTTGTAAAATACGATTTGCCAATATCCAGAATGGGTTATATTTTGCAAAAAATTGCATGAAAATTGAGGAATGAACTCATACACTGCTCGACAAAATTATAAATGCACTTCTAAAATCACTGTAACTTTTGTGGTTTTCAGTAAAACTGTGCCATATTTGGCCCAAATGTGTACCAGTGTACTATAAATCTTGTGCCAAAAAATTATTTTGAAAACTTTCCACAATTTGGAAAAAAGTTGAAAAAACCGAAATTTTGGAGATTTTCTTTGCGACAAAATTATAAATTCACGCAATATTTTGCAATTTTCTCGCCGTTGGCGCTGAAGCAAAGTAAGTTATTTGGCTTAGTGGTTTCCTTAGGTGCCCTTCTGGCATGCTACGAGGAAAAACAGTGCCAGAATTTGAAAAACGCGGAATTACGACCCTGAAACCGCAAAGACCTCGGGTTTGCCGGATTTCGGCTCAGGTAGGCCGTTCAGCCGGAGTTGTGAAGAACTACTTGGCTCACTCGGAAGTCTTCAACACGGCTAAACGTTCTGGCAAAAAAGGTTTACCACCGCGGCAGAATTAAGGCAGAGAAATCCGCTGAGCTTCCAACTACACCATCTCTGGGTCTCATATAGAGCCAGAAAAAGGTCTCAATTGTAGCAGGATAGCTATGCTGAGGGCACTAAGACGCAGCGATGTCATCACTGGACATCATATGAAGTCGTGCCCCCAGCTGGCCTAGGTTCGGTTAGCACGCGACCGAAATTGGCCAAGATGACTTTGACAAAACAGGTTGAGTAGTCAAGGGTCAGTTTCCCAGCGTTGCAGCACCGAATTCCTTGCAGATTGCATGGTCAGACGATGTCCCCGACGGTTTTCCACATAGGACATATCACTGTCATTACATCAGAAGAGAACCGCGTTACTTCTTGTACCGTAATGTTGGAGGATCTGTTTTGTCAAAGTTACCTTGGCCAGTTTCAGTCGCGCGCTAACCGAACCTAGGCCAACTTGGGGCACGACTTCATATGATGTCCAGTGATGACATCGCTGCGTCTTAGTGCCCTCAGCATAGCTATCCTGCTAAAATTGAGACCTTTTTCTTGCTCTATATGAGACCCAGAGATGGTGTAGTTGGAAGCTCAGCGGATTTCTCAGCCTTAATTCTGCCGCGGTGGTAAACCTTTTTTGCCAGAACGTTTAGACGTGTTGAAGACTTCCGGATGAGCCAAGTAGTTCTTCACAACTCCGGCTGAACGGCCTACCTGAGCCGAAATCCGGCAAACCCGAGGTCTTTGCGGTTTCAGGGTCGTAATTCCGCGTTTTTCAAATTCTGGCACTGTTTTTCCTCGTAGCATGCCAGAAGGGCACCTAAGGAAACCACTAAGCCAAATAACTTACTTTGCTTCAGCGCCAACGGCAAGAAAATTGCAAAATATTGCGTGAATTTATAATTTTGTCGCAAGGAAAATCTCCAAAATTTCGGTTTTTTCAACTTTTTTCCAAATTGTGGAAAGTTTTCAAAATAATTTTTTGGCGCAAGATTTATAGTACACTGGTACATATTGGGGCCAAATATGGCACAGTTTTATAGAAAACCACAATAGTTACAGTGATTTTAGAAGTGCATTTATAATTTTGTCGAGCAGTGTATTCAAATTTTTTTGACTTGGTTTGACCGAAAGATCTGACCGGACTTCATTCATTCTGTTTTACATTTTCTTCCCATCCGGTTGCCATGTTGTTTCTCCTGTTTTTTTCAGTGCCAATCGTAGTTGGACAAGGGGAAGAAAAAGAATACGGTGAGTTTTGAGGCAAATTTTGAATTTTTACAATTTTTTATATTGCGCCGCACTTAGGATACTTCCTTTATAACGACAATTATTTCATTTATCACAACTTTCAGTTGTGATCAATCCCGCTCCAAATGTCAGCAGAGTCTCCTTGATTAACAGTAGTGAACGTGAAGTGCAAATGTCCGACAAAGGTGTTGCCTTCAGTTGGCTCGAAGACGAGTATCCGGCATTGGCCTTCGAACACACATACTGGAATGAAAATCAGGAGAAGATCGCTGGCTTGTTGGACGAAATGTTCACTGCGTTGGAGTATGTCAGTCCCGCCGAACGGCTGGGGAAGTGTGTGGATCGGACCGGATTGCTGATCAAGGTAGGCTTGGAGATTGCAGGCGGTGTTGGAGAGGGGGTGTAATATTTTACAACCAATACAATGGGGGACCTGATCGAGTGGCAAAAAACCAAAAAACGTACCATTTTGCATCCAGGAAGCATCAAAAAATGTGACAAAATACCTCCCTCTCCAAGTGAAAAAGCTCCGATTTCAAAAGCGCGCCCGCTCTTTTTGTGAGGGTCCCTTCAAAACGAAGTTTTTTCACTTGGAGAGGGAAGCATTTTGCCATATTTTTGATACTTCCCGGATGCAAAACCATACGTTTTTTGCCACTGGATCAGGTCCCCCCACTTTTGGACGTCTTTTCAGTACGTCGGCTTCTGTTTCCTCAGCCGCGAGTCTTTTGGAATTCTGGCCAAGACCACTACAGTCTTCGGACATTTCGATTACGTCCGAGTATGTGGAGAAAACAACATGTCAACGCTGTTTGCGCTGGAGAAAGAGAATGGCGTTTACAATGTGTACACGGAGATGTGTTTTGTCACCAACCGGACGTATAACGGATACAACGAGCAGAATTGGCCAACTTCAAACGGCCTCAAATGCGCTGCAGGAAACATGACTTTTAATATATCCGAAGTAATTTATAAGAATGGCATCTATACCACGCGTGAAGATACTTTTTACCAAACAACTACGGACAACGAATGCTATTTGAAAGTGGAGTATATAGACAACTTGAATGCAGTTTACTTGGAATTTGGAACTGTAACGGACGTTGAGGAAAATTTGAAGGTGAGAAGGAGTTAGTAAAATTAACGACTCCAATTTTTCAGATATTTGAAATATGCCCGTTCTACACGTTGGAAGATGTGGACTTGCCGAAGAAGAAGAGCATCGTTTACATTGAGAGATGCAACAACGATGACTATTGCAATATCGACTTGTCGCGCAAGGCCATGAAAACGTTTGTAAGTTTGGAAAAATGCACGGAGTTGTCCAGTAGCGGTCCAGTGGCAAAAAACGTACAATTTGTAACCGGGAAGTGCTAACGTAAGGAATGTGGCGGAATACTTCCCTTTCCAAGGGAAAAACTCCTTTTAAACGCGATCTTTTGGTGAGAGAAAAGGCGCGCCTTTCAAAGCGGAGTTTTTTTGCTGGAGATGGAGGCATTTTGTCACATTTTTCTTTCCGAATGCAAAATGGTACGCTTTTTGTCACTGGATCACTGTAACACCAAATTCGCCAAGTGTTGATAAGAAATTTGGAGATTTTTGTTTGAGATTTGCAGTTTTTCTCAAGCCGCTTCCCAGTCTTGACTTTTTCTTTTCATTTAGAGCTTCTGCGCAGCCGGCTCCTCAAACGGCATCCACTGCCACGTACTCTACGATGTTCATCGCAAAAACTTGCTTCGTTCTGATGTTTCCCTCAACACTTCCGGGCTGAATCTCGATGGAATTACAGAGATTGTTGGGAAATACACTCTCGACGCATGCAGTCAGGACTATCGGAAGATTGAAGGACCATTCTATGCGTTCACCGTGCAGTGTGAGGGCAGAGAGTGTGACCGAGAGCTGGTCAAGAGTGTGGAGGAGAAATTCGAAAAGAGAAGCAAGTTGATGTGCATGCGGACAAAGGAAGGCATTTCTGTAAATGAGGCCGACAAGTTTTCGAATATGACTCGGTTCTTCGTGTTTGCCAATGAAGGTAGGTTCAAGGCAGAATAGAAAGTGCTGAGATGGCATTGTGATGACATTCAAACTTGAAAGCAAAGAAAATTGAAGAATTTTAGTGTCCCTAAAAACAACGCTTTTTGAAATTTCTTTTTCTTTTTGGCCTTTGATGAGGGAAAAGATCTGCGCCCTTGATGGCTAAAAATTTCAAAATCCTCAAAGAAAATTTGAACCCATGTCCTGTGGGGGACCTGATCCAGTGGCAAAAAACGTACCATTTTGCATCCGGGAAGTATCAAAAATGTGGCAAAATGCTTCCCTCTCCAAGTAAAAAACTGTGATTTTTCAAAACAAAGTTTTTTTTCACTTTCAGAGGGAAGCATTTTGCCACATTTCTAATGCTTCCCGGATGCAAAACGGTATGTTTTTTGCCACTGGACCGGGTATTTCACTGTATGTCCTACGCACATTCAAAAAATCATAACTTCGAATTTCAGGTCAAGTTTGCACTCTTCAACGCATCAACAATACAATTGTAGCTGACGTCAAAAACAAAACGAAGGTAAGACGCTAATTTTGGAAGCCGTGGAATCCCGATTTTTTAGTCCGGGCAAAGCCCTTGTCCCACTGTTTCCGGCAACTCCTATTGCCCGCAAATTTGCTATAAACCGGCAAGCTTTGCGGATTTATCCGACGTTGTGAGCGCAGAAGTTTTGAGACTTTTGAAATGTGCCCCAAGGGATCCGGATCCGATCATTGCAATGAATTACCTGCTCAGGAAACGGTATTGTCTGTCGAACACACCTACAATCACTGAAGTGGAAATCATTCCCGATGGGTGAGTTTGGCTCTGTTTTATGTGTTGATTGGGGACTTGTGATATCCTTGGCTGAAATTGCAGAAGGACTAGGGACCAGTTTGCCTTAGGCAGAAGAGGAATCTTATTGTTAGGTCCAACTAAAAACGGTTGGGTCGCAAGAGCAGAGAATCGGAGGATTTTTTAAAAATTTTGCATTTTTCGTCGGACATAGGCCTGTTACCAAGCCCTCAAAACTTTAGCTCGTGCTCAAAAGAAGCAGCCGAGATATTCAACGAGCTTGACAGGAGAGATAGTACGTAAAAGGTGAAGAATGATTTCTGTGCGTGCCTTTACAAGAAGAATGATTTCTGGGCGTGCTTTTACTGGTTCTGGCTTCAGAAGAAATGAAGTTTTTATGGAGAAACGATTTGTATACGGTACGAAAAGCATGAAAACTTTGGTGTGAAAATTCGCTTTTTGCCAACTTCAGAAATCTTGTATATGTCACGGAAAAAATGGATTTTTTGCGAGGTTTCATCGAAATCTGAGCGCCACAGTTCTAACACCTCTCGGAAGCATTAAAACATCTCATTTTTTCGTGTAAGGCAGATGGCTTTGTGGAATTTTCAATTGAGTATCTCCAAACTTGTTTTTCTTTAAGACTTACGCTATTCGGCTGAATATTGCGGCTTCAGTTGTAAGTGCAGGCTAAAATTATAACATTTCTGCTGTGCCAGTCAACGTAGGAAAGCAATGTGAAAAAATTGGACACTACTTATCGTTCACGTTTTTTCAGGGATCCCGACGACAACACATGGACTACTTGTGATGATAAATGCTTCGCAATGCACGAAGCAAAACGGGACAATGTAAGCGGATCAACTTTAAGTTTCAGTTTACATTCTATAAGCATTTTTTAATACTCTAAGTTTCAGTGGATGTTCGGCTGTGCGTCGGATTACGAGTTTGTGAAACACTTGTGCTCTACAGATTCGGCCGACTTCCCAAAGTGCTTCTACGTTCCGGAACACAAGGATACTATACGAGGTACAGCGCGGTCTGTTGCTGCGATTCGTTGTCGCAAAAGAACCGCCTTGACAGTTGCGAGAAGGCGTTGAGCGCTTTCCGCAAGGCAATTCAATACGATCCGGAGGTGAACAGAAGGATGACAGAGCGAGAAAGAAATAGGAAACGAAATTTGTGATTCGGTTAATAAATTATTGCGGTTTGGTGATTGGATTTTTAATTGCAACACATTTCACAATTTTTTTTTAGTTTATCGACATTTTTAAGGCATCCTTTGCACAGTGCAATACGCCCTATTTGTTTTCAATTGGCTTAACGAAATCCCTGCGTAAAAACCTTTAAAATCCGAAGAATCGCTAAAAAAAGTCGAAATAAAAAACACGGCAACATATTTTATACATTTGGCTTTTCCTCTCTCCATTCCGTGAATACCAGAATACCATATCGCTGTGGCGTTTAAGGCGGCTTAACGCCGCGTCGATCAGACCTTCCGAGGTGGGGATAAAAGACGCTTAAGGCTTTTATTTTCGCTTCCGAAAAAAGTTGCGCCACGCAAAACCCGGCTTGTAAGTTATAGTTTTTTTGGGGGCAATATGATGTGAGCCAATTTACAGGGTTTGCTTTTTTGGTTATCTTTGAGGCTTTACTGAAGTGTTTATTGTAAAATTCAACCGCTCTGTAGCTCTCAGTTTATCAAAAAAAAGTCAATAATTTCTAATGTAATCCTACTTGTTATCATGGATTATTTTTTATTATAGATCTGATTCATTTCATGCGTACCTTAATCCTCCTATGATCTATTTTTGATTGTACGCTATTGTTCGTGTTTTTTTCTCTCACAAGGAAGTACGTCAGTTACGGCAAGTTCTCCTCAGTAATAGCTCGCTTTTCAGGAGATGCTTGGCTCAAAATGTAACATCTGGATCAATTTCGCAATTTTTGCTTTGCATATTTTGTTTCCATGCATGCTGGCACTAGAACAATCTCCTCAACTGGTGAGTTATTAACATGCTTTGCAAAAAAGACTGTGATTTCAAGGTCAAACAATAGACCGAAATGCCTCACTTTTTTGTTGAGCTTTGAGACAAAAAATTTTGTAATTATTTCTACTGTCGAAAGGGATGTTTCTGCAAAAAATAAATTCTTTTTACTCAAAACTGGAACAGATATGGCCAAAAAAAGTTTTTATCTCTGCCAGAATTTCGCTTTTTACGGTTGCAAGATCGTTGTGATATCTCAGCTCCTGCGGATTAAAACTGTATTTTAAAATAATCACCCTGCTCTTTCAGGAATGTCTGGACGACGGCATGCGTCTTCATTTTGTCCCCGAGCCCAACCAACCATTTTCTGGCCACGTCTACGTAAAAGGATTCTTCTTCAGCAAAAACTGTCATCTCGACTACAGTCGGAATGTAATTCGCGACCCCTTCTTTTTCCATGTCCCCTTCAAAAGTGAATGTCAAATCAAGCGGGAGAAACAGAAGCAAGGCACAAGCTACTCGATGATAGTGGTCGTTCAGCATCATCCATTGTTCATTACCGAAGTGGACAAGGCCTATGATGTGTCGTGTTTCTACAACGAGAATCAGAACAACTTGGAGCAATCGTTCGAGATCAACGACATGACAACGGCGGGGCTGTCGGACGAGAAGTTCCTGCCCGACTGCAGCTATGTTGTTGTGCAGGGCGGACTGAATGGGGAGCCGGTGAAGTTTGCGAATATTGGAGAGACATTGATCCACAAGTGGTCGTGCGTCACTTGTAAGGGATTTTTTGCAATTTTCACAGCTGTCATGGCGTTTTCATTGGCTGGGCCGTCACTGAAAAGTGTCGGACCTGATCCAGCGGCAAAAAAAGTGCCATTTTGCACTCGGGAAGTATCAAAAAGTGCAGCAAAATACCTCCAAAAAACTCCGAATTCAAAAGCGATTTCAAGAGCGTGCAAAGTAACGTGTCTGATGCAGTAGCAAAAGCAATCATTTTGCATCCGGAAAGTATCAAAAAATGTGGCAAAATGCCTCCTTCTCCAACAAAAAAAAACTCCTTTTTGAAGGGCGCGCTTTTGAAATCAGACTTTTTTAAAACAGGGGGAGGTATTTTGCTACATTTTTTGATACTTTCCGGATGCAAAATGGTACGTTTTTTCCCACAAAATCAGGTTCGCTACTCAAGTTTCCATTCATTTTTTCAGCGAACCAAGGGATTCTGGTGCACACTTGTTATGTCCGTGATGGCGCTGGAACTGAGTTCCTTCTGCTGGACGATAGAGGGTATGCTTCTTTTTCTTTGTTTAAATCCGACATTTTTTCATTTTTCTCCAAATTTTGAGTTTCAGATGTCCCACAAACGGCTCCCTAATCAAAGAGATTACCTATTCCTCAAACTTGACCAGCGCCTATTCACCGATCAACGCGTTCAAATTTGCGGATCAGATGATTGTGTATTTCAGTTGTCAGATTACGTTGTGCCGACAGGAAGACCAAGGATGTGAGGGGATAACGGTGAGCTAAGTTTAACTTTAAAACGCTTTTTTTATCACAGACATGTCATTCTATATGCGTTTACTTTAGCCGCCCGCTTGTGGGCTTCCTACAATTCCCGACCGCAACACAACAAATCCGGATGAAGGCGTGGATATTGATGGCAACGGCGGTAAGAGTTCCAAAGAGATCATAAAATCGCCTTAAATTTTACGACGCTTGCCGAAAAATCAAGTCAAAAAATTCGTATTCAGCTGTAATTTCAGTGACTTCAACAACGACCACAACGACAACCACAACTCAGCCGAACAATGACATCAATGGTCGCTCAGAGGCGCAGCAAGCTGACCCTTCAAATATCTTCTTCTCGATGCCTTTCCCATCAGCACGGCATGCAAGAAAACGGAGAGAAAACAATTACACAGATGTCACATTGGACGTGAATTCTGACTCGGTAGGTTGTGTGTGAAGACTAGAAAAATGAACACCATTTTTCAGTTAATTATCTTTACGAAGGATGAAAATCCAGGCGGAAGTCTGGCCTTCCGAATGGACAACATCTGCTCTGCCGCGTATGGGCAGATCAGTATTGGATGGTTGTGTCTTATAATTGGTATGGAAATACGGCAAAAAGAACGTTGCTACAGTGGCGGACCTGATACAGTGGCAAAAAACGTGCCATTTTGCATCCGGGAAGTATCAAAAAATGTAGCAAAATACCTGCCTCTCCAAGTGAAAAAATCTGATTTCATAAACGCACCTGCTCTTCTTTGTGAGGGACCCTTCAAAACGGAGTTTTTTAGTTGGAGAGTGAGGTATTTTGCTACATTTCTTTGTAATAAATGATACGTTTTTTGTCACTGGATCAGGTCCGTCATTGTAGTGGGCGGGAGGTGGAGTACCCAAACGAAATTAGCGACAAAAGTGGGGCGGGTGGCAAGATGAGTTAAAAATTTGGGCATGGTGACCTCCACCCTCCAGAATTTTCTGTCATCTACGCCCAAGACAAAGAATAACGCCCTCCCAACCTTAATTTGAATTTACAGGTCTAGTCGCGACTTGTGGAACCGTCCTCTTTATTCAACATCAACATTACGAGCGTCGACTATCAAACATGGCCAAGCTCGTCATGCCGTTGGAAATGAGCTTTCAACGCCCGCAAGTTCCTAGAAGTCAGGCCGACCAAGCGTTTGTCTATCAATAGAGAGAAGAGCGGCTTTATTCGACGTCAATACGGGTGAAGAAGGATTGAAAACTTTAAGAAAGACATTTTAATAAACACAAAGGCGGAAATACATACATATTTTGGGAAAAATTGTCTGAGAAAGCAATCAAAAACTAATTATAATTTTTGACTTCTGTAGTAAAATTTGTTTGTCGTTCGCACTCCGAAAATTAATTTTCCGTGAAAATTGCTACATTTGCAAGCAAATTATGCACGTTTGTGAAGGAATTCTGCGAAGATCCCTTGGAAATTCAAGGATCATTTTTTGGTCTCTCCCACAAGACCTTCCGAACATCATAGACTCAGGAATTCCACTGGTCACCGCGGAAAAACATTCCCCGCATAACCCAATCCAGCGGGACAATATACATTTATTCATGAGATCAACGAGAAGTCACAACCTTTGCTTAAATACGTCTATTATTACTGAGGGAATATAGCCACAAGAAAAAACGTTGGAAATGCAGTGCGCGTGTTCAGTAGTCGAAGAGGTACGGTCGGTTCCGCGCAACGCGACCGAACCGCCCCATGAACGGCGCGAAGTTGTGGCCGAAGCCGGGCGGCATCTCGCCCTGCTGGAAGTGCTGGATGCGGACGTTGGAGCGGAAGCTGGGATGCGGCACGCGTTTCTCCATGAACTGAAAAATAACAGGATTGTTTAAGAAATGAGTTCCTTCTACTGGACGATGATCCTCGCTGAAGTTTTGTTAATTACAAAGTTTGAATTTTATTTTAATGGGGAGTAAGATTGACTGAGATTCAAATTGAAGAAACGCAATGTTTGGGCGCTATGATATTGATGAAATTCGACGCGTTTACAAGCAGAACCCTCCTTGACACAATTACAAATGCAGAACTCAAAGCCAAATCCAAATAAAACTTGTCACAGATCTAGTCAAATTTTTTTCTCAAGACATTTTTAGCCCACGCTTCGTAAAGACAAAATAAAAATAGTTTTTTTTTGCTGTAATGTGTCCCAAAAACTGTTTCTTATGGACAATACCTAGATTCTGTATGTTCTTTTGCCTTAGGCGAGCGTTCTAGATCTTTTTGTTCCGGTAATTCACAAAATTTTCATTTTATACGGCCACTTTTCAGGAAAGTCTTATTTTTAAAGTCAAACCTCAAGTAATTCCCTTGCAAAAGGCCTACAGTAAGACTCTCTTCCCCCCCTACCTTTTCCTCCTCCTCGATCGAACTCTGCCCTTGAGCCACAATACTCATGAGCACCATGACGAGCGCCAAAAGCATACTCGACCAGCCGAGGTGCATCTTTCCGTTTCAGTCGACTGAAAGTCCATAAATTCAATAAAGAAACATGTGGCAGTCAATTTCATTCTCACGTCACGGTAGTTTAATGGTCACGGCGGGTGGTTTTTATGGCGAGGGTGAAGGACAAAGCGACGTGGGGCTGTGAAAAACAAACTGCAGCATTTATGGCCAAATTTAGCTGTACTTGCGAGGAATTAAAAACGATTTCTGACTTACAGACGTCTGAGGAGGCGGAAATTGTAGTTTTATAAAAAATTATGGGCTAAAGGCTACGCGATTTTAGCCAGAAGGTTCTAAAGTGACAGAAGAGAAGGCCGTTTTTCTGCAAATAGTCTGATTTCATTTCACTTTCGAAATCGAGCCTTCTTATGTGAGGTGAGTTTTTAACGGCCGAGTTCGTTGAATTTGAAGAATTTGATTGATAAGCCAGCTTTGATGAGTGATTTTTCAACGAAATTCTTGACCATAAAAAACACGAACTTTGCAAAATTTGCAAGGCCTACTTTGGAAGGGTCAAAGAACCGAAAATAGAGTAAATAAGCGGAAAAAATCATCGAAGCGATTGGCCAAACATGCCAAAAAAGCAAAGAATATCTTATTCTAGCAGCATAACTGCTCATAAATTTGTTACAGTAACTATGTGGCACTAAGTACTCATATGATTTTAATGAAATAACGTTTTGAACAAGCGTTCATAGAACTCAAAATATAATAAATATTTTTCAAAATAAAATAATACATCTGTTCTTATCAGCATGAGTAGTAATGGGACCGCAAACATGAAAGGCCGATGTCTTTCGTAATAGATAACAAAAGTCGTAAATTTTGTAAGGTTTTCTATTTTTAGCTAACTTTCAAAGGAGGTTGCGAACATGCAATGTAATTTTTTATGTGTTTTGTAGGGCTTCTGGGACGACTAAGATGGCCAATACCATTCTGAAAACGTATAGCTGGCCAACAACATTAAAAATGTTGCCAAAAAAGGTCTTTATAAAAAGATTTGCGCAATAAAATTTAGTACCGAAAGGCTCTACATTTACCCCCAAACCATCTCCCACCAATGCTCTAATGCCCTTTGGCAACCACGCTCGATCGGGACCTTATTTTAGAGACCTCACCGAACGCTTCAACTCCCGTTTCAGGCTCCGCCTCCGGAAGCGAAAAACTCAAAGACTTTGCCCTTGGGGGCCGGGACGTAAAAACCAAATGCGTTCGCAAATGTCGAGTGCCATTTGAAGGTAAACATGACCTTCGGCGAAGTCACAAATTTCCGAAATTTGCCTAACTCCAGATTTGGCCCCGAAATTCGCAGCTAACGCCAAACGAGGAAACTTCGGGAAATTAAGAGGATTGCTGGTTGACAAAAAAGGGCTGTAAAGCAGTAAACATGATTGAAGTTTGAGCTATTATCAAAAATTGGGAAAGCAGGAAGCGAACTGTGGAAAATGGGGCATATGGCATTTTTTGAGTGATCTTGTTGCAAAACTGATCAACATGTTTTGCAAAAATAGGTCTTGTTTCGTCATGTTCGAAGTATATATAGGCCAGAACTATATGACACAAAAATCAAACCAAAAATGCAAAAAAAAAATCTAAAATTATTGATCTGTGAAAACGACCGTTTTGTCATGTTCGTGTAAGGCGGCTTTCATGGCCATATCTGTAAAGAAGATGCCAGAAAATCCCCATAACACCAAATATAACCTAAAAAAATGCCTAAGTTATCCTGAAAGAATGAAAGTTTGTCTAATATGTTAAAATACGCCATGGAATGATGCCGTTTTGCCAAGATCTACAGATCGCGATCTATCCAAAAAATGCTCGGAAAATCCCAAAAACCATCGAAGACCCATGTATAGATGCTCCAAACATTCAGAAGATTTACTTATTGAAGTGAAAGTTACAGTGCCGGACCCGATCCAGCGGTAAAAACGTATCATTTTGCATCCGGGAAGTATCAAAAATGTAGCAAAATACCTCAATCTCCAAGTGAAAAAATTCCGATTTCAGAAGTGGGCCCTTCTTTTTGTAAAGGAAGTGCCTTTAAAACGGAATGTTTAAATTGGAGCGGGAGGCATTTTGCTACATTTTTAATACTTCCCGGATGCAAAATGGTAGGTTTTTTGCCACTGCATCAGGTTCGTCACTATATCCGTGAGGACGTGCGGACATACCAAACAAAATATAGCTCCTATGCCATCATGACCGCACCTTTTTTTCTGGCCTTTGGCGTCATTTAGTAACCATGTGGATGCCGGCGGCCAACAAGTCCATTCATCAACAAGATTTTAAATCTAATTTGACGTCCGTTTTTAATGCAAATTAATCATTCAAAGGATTCAAAACAAGGGCATGCACCTCTCTTCATTTGCCTTTTTAATAAGATTGAGTGTGCGGGGATACTGTAAGAGTAATATGATGATTGAATGGTCGGAAAATACATCTAACGGATTAAAACAAGAGTAAAAAATTCGAGAAGTTGCGTTTCATTCAAACCACTAATCCACAAAGTCGTCAGCCCTCTTCCGCACATCAAAAAGTCATTTTATTTTGAAGTACATAATGAGAGGACTTAACGCCCAATGAATTATTAATCCGTATTAAGCTTTTCGTAAACTAAATTCCTCAAGTTAATCGACGAGTATTTGCTCTTAAGGATGCCATCATTTGACGCGTTTTTCCTCCGCAAATAATAAAGCACTTTCTAAGCCTTGGAACAGTAAATTTGGGGAATAAATAAAGATTAAGCAGCAAAGTTGACAACTGTACGACGACGGCTCATCTTTTATGCAGAAGCTGCACGTCTAGTCGAGCATTTGTATAAGATGACTGGTAAAGAATGGGACGCATTACATCGAGGAACCGTGTCCACGTCGTACAAGGGTAGTTGTCTAGACCGATCGTTAATCGCATTATTTGAGGACTAATAAGTGCAGTAAAGTTTGGCGGCCGAGCTTAATGTGTTTTTTGCGTAAATGGGAAGAATAAAAAGAGTTTCTTGGCAATGAAAATCACCTACAAGGCTTCAGATTTGTGAATAACTTTTTTGCGTGACGGACACTCTAACAGCAAAATATATCGCAAGAAAGGCTTGAGGTTCTAAAAAACACCACTGGATTAATCTTGGCTCAAATTTACAACATCATTTTTCAAAGAGATCGTCAGTTTACAGTTTGCAGAGATCAATAAGAATCTTTGATCCAAAATCGTAAAAGATTTGCGCTGCTTTCCAGTTTTATGTTTGAAAACAACAGTCTTAACTTCGGCGTATGTAATGCAATTATTAAAACAATGAAAGTATTTTGCACTAAAACAAAACCGTAATAGAAAAAATGGTGTTTTCGTCTGCCCTTGCATCCAGCCTGCACGCCTGCAGAAGTAACTGCTGAATACCCTGAATAGAAGCGCGAGCAAAAAAACAATGGAAGAAAATTATCTGGCCCGCTCAGAATCCACATCCAAATTTTAGCCAATATAAGAGCTTGATGAATTAAGTGCGAGTGAATTTTAATTTGGCTCTTTGATAAGTAAGAGCTAAGAACTGGAAGAAAATTTGAGCATCGCACCTCGACCTGTTTTATAAATATTGTGGGGTCCTGAGGCAGTGGCAAAAAACGTATCATTTTGCTTCCGGGAAGTATCAAAAATGCAGCAAAATGCTTCCCTCTCCAAGTGAAAAAACTTCGTTTTGAAGGGCGCGCTAGCGCGCTTTTGAAGTCGGTATTTTTTTCACTTGAAGAGAGAAGTATTTTGCCACATTTTTGATAATTCTCGGATGAAAAATTTGTACACTTTGTCCGACCGGCTTTATTTATGGTTCGGTCTCTCTTGTCACCCGTTTGGCAATTAAACTCTTGAAACTTCAAGAAACAGGATGGTCTCTGGACAAGTCAATTTTTCCTTCATTTCCCAAATCTCGTAAGCCCTTGCACTCTACCATCCACTAACGGAAATCCCCATTACTCACTGCAAAAACTCATTTGATGTTTTTTAAAACATCAACTCCAAATAACTTCCATTCTTGCACATGGCCGTAATTTGTTTTTCAAGATGTCTCAAGGGAATGTCTGGCCACAAACAATGGGCGACCTCTGCACAAGTCATTAGAGCTACGGTAGAGAAGAGGAGTTGTTATCATTTCCGGACAAAATTGACAACCAAAGATAAAAGTAGCCCGTTTTTTGTAAATAGCCATAAAAGCGTACCCATTATTTCCGGTGAGGTTTAGTTTTACAATTAGGAGCGTCATTAAGTCAGGAAATGAGTAATTTGTTGGAAAGAGTTAGAGGCTGTATTTTGAGATTTAGGAGAAGATAATGGAAACGGCTCTCTGAATCACAAAAAAAAACACAAAACGCTGTAAAGTTGCGAAGCAGCAGACTACAATGGCAGATCCAGTGGCAAAAAACTTGGCATTTTGCATACGGGAAGCATAAAAAAATGTGGTAAAATACCTGCCTCTCCAAGTGAAAAGACTCCGATTTCAAAATTTTAGGATTGAGGAGAAGATAATGGTAACGGCTCTCCGAATCACAAGAAAGCACAAAACGCTGTAAAGTTGCGAAAGAGCAGCATCGAGACTGATTCAGAGGCAAAAAACGTACCATTTGGCATCCGTAAAGTATCAAAGAATGCAGCAAAATATCTCCCTCATCAAGTCATTTTATACGAAAGGGAGCGTCTTTCAGAACAAAGTTCTCTAGTTGAAGAGGGAGGCAGTTTGCTGCATTTTCAATACCTTCCGGATGCAAAATGGTACTTTTTTTGCCACTGGATCACGTCCGTCATTGTGCAACATCGGACGTTTTGAAAATATTTATTTATCTTGAGTTTTACAGGGTGATTCAAAAAAAAATGGACACTTTTCTTTCTTCGATTTTTCTTGGCTTTGAATGTTTCTGGTAAAAAGGTACACATGGCATAAAACTACTACGTTATGTGTACATATTCATTGCAAAAATTGTTCACTAGCTGCAAAAGTTGCCGAGATATGGTTGCTT